CACCTATATTTATACATCAAGATGCTGACAACATAGACTGTGACACACCTCACACACCTCTTCAGTCTCACCACTTCAAACAGACAACTACTACAACTACTATATAGGGACAGTGTAGGGATAGCGTCTGTCTCTACGGACAAAAGATTGTCGTGGGAGATGTAGTGTGTTAGCCACTGCGGGATACCCACGGAGTGAAGCGTTCGAGGCCTGTTAATACAGATGAGCTGCAGCCAATTAGGACATTATTAGGGTTAGCTAGTAGTTGGCTGTCTTTTTTCCTCCTGCTTTTCGTAAATAGTCATTTTATGGGGGGACTGTTGTGGACAGAAATATTAACCCAATTTATACTAGTAAAATGTCTATTTACTCAATATAACTGTAATCATCATTATTCAATTTACTATGTGATTTACCTAAAATGGCCGCTAGGGAGTTTTTCCCTTAACATCAATTAACACCCTCATTAACAAGATGGCGCTGGAATCCGGGGGAGACCTCCAAGATACCAGTGACATCACCCCCAGTAGGCAGAGCATTAAATGAACCACTTAAATAGCATTAATGAACCACCTAACCAATTATTGATGTATTATTTCATGTTATCTCTGACAATGCCTGTGATGTAATTTTGCTTTAAAAGGGACATGTCGTCCCCTCTGAATAAAGATTCCTCAAGTTTTTCATTAACCCGAAACTTGTGTCTGGTGTGAATTACTTCAGGAGCGTGCACGCACTATTTCTTAATTTGGCCAGGGGCAGATACACAAGATAATCAATTTATTGATTGATAACCACATCACAAATGTTTTCTCTACTCACATCCTTTCTCACAATCGTTTGCCCCTCTCAGCTGTAAATAACTTCATATAACTATATCTCATCTCCATCCCTGTTCCTTAGGCCTCACTTCACTCACCCAGATCCAAGCAATACTGAATCTTTACATTTTTTTCTAAGCATTTCTCTCCAGGTTCTAAAATTTTTAGCATGCTCCTCCAGCTGTTTGAGATCTTACGCAATTACCTCCTCATTCCCTTTACAGTTTACCAGTAGCTGCAACTCTCCATTAACATTCTATGGCCATCACTTCCAAATTCCCATTGCTACCTCTCAAATCGCCATTACTTCCTTTAGCTTGTAAGCACAAGGGCTATTTAACTAAGCACTTAGTATAAATAAGCTTCGATAGCTAGATTTCAGCTCACAGACAGGGCCCTCTTAAAATGTTGTCTTGATCTGTATATAGAGTACATTTTGCCCTAATTGTACAGAATATGTTGTCACTCTATAAATGCCAGTAATAAGTACAATAAAATACTGACAAGTAGTCACTGTTGCTCCAGCACAGGTGTGAAGGTGAACTCCCTTCATATATACCCAATGGGGAGGAAGTGTATAGGGAAAATATTTTTTATTTTTTGTTTATATAATGTTTGTATCAAATGGCCTGTACTATATGTATGAATTTGCTCTGGGGGAAAGACAAGTTTTGAACAGTTGTCAAGTCTAAGAGATCTAGTAGTACATGGAAAAATTCTCTATATATAGAATATATGTCCCAAACTAATACAAATGGAGTGATTAAAACTGTAATAAAAGATAAAATGTGAAAAATAATAGAATAAAAATGGGAATAGAAATAAAGATTTGAATAGAGAAACATATTTTAAATATTCTATAAAAGACAAAATGGCAAGTACAAATAGAGAATAAAATAAAATCTAATGAGGGGGTTATCACAAAGTCCTACCCCAACTTACAGAAACTGCAAATCCCACAGAGGTTTAAGATAGACGTATTACTGAGCCCTAGAGTGGCCAGACTTAACATTAACAAAGATAAAGACAGAGTCAGGAATAGCCAAGATCAGTGATATAGACATGTATATAAATAACAAACTGTGTCAGGATACCAAAATTACACAAAGTTAAATACAAATTGAGTATTATATCACAAAATAAAAAGCCTTACTATGAGCACTAACATGTATCAAGACAGACACCACAATGAACAAGTGCCCAAATTAACTTTATATAGGCCAACACATTTTCTGATTGGTCCACATCATCTCTACGACTCCAAATTCATTCAAAATGGGTCGTCTAGATGACGCCACTTTCATAGCAGGAATGACATCACATAATTTGAATTCATAAAATACGCACCTGTTAAAACGGGCAGCATTTATTATACTACAGGGAAGAAAAACAGCACAGTGAAAGAAGGAGGCGAAGCTGTTCGCCGGGCCGAATGGTAAGTATACAGATTTCCTTGTTCGGGTTACAAGACCTGAGGAGGAGCTATCTCCTCCCCTCTTTATGAGAAATTATTTTTTATATGTATATAAAATATATGGTAAAATATTAAAAGGAAATTATAAAAGGTCAAACTCTTCATTGAGACCTTCTGGTTCTAAAGTTGGTAGAATAAAAACCCAACTCATCTTGCTTCTACCAAGCAACTTTTTAATGTTTCCATCCCTCCAAGATTTTTGACATTTCAAAATTGCAGTTACTTTTCACTGCATTGTTATGTACAATAAAATATTTTCACAGCCTTTTGTTATGTTGCGGCAATGTTCAGCTATACGTGTTTTTGAGACATCTGGACATCATCCCTATGTATTGTAGCCCACCTGGGCACTCTAGAATATATGACATTTTTGGTATCACAAGATTACAAATATTCTGCACCATTGGTTCTTCTCTTTCTTTCTCTCCACATGCACTCACAAAATATTCAAGTACCATAAGCAGCAAGACCAGCTGGTGGAAAGTGAAAATTCTGGACTGTGGCCTTTGGACTTTTTTCACAATGTTATATTTTAACATACTATATTTGAAATTAGGTGCAACCTGTTATGGCTTCGCCATATTTGGTAATCAATACCCTGGAAACACATGCATGATATGCGTGCTCTGGGAAGAAGTAATCTGTTATCAAATCCCGCTAATAACGTCATACAATAGAGCAGTGTAGCTAGCTGTTATGTTGCAGTCATGAGCATGAACTGGTGTGGTTGCGCTAAATACAGTCGAGTATGTGGTGATAGCTTTTGAAAGCAGTTTTTTTTAGATATTCCCCCTAATGAAAAAATGCTTAATTAAATGCATGCATGTTTTAATTGGAGGTATATCTACTAAAGTATTGAAAAATACAATATTAGTTTTTCATTGGAGTGTTCCCTTAACTCTCCACTGTAGCTAAGGTAAGTGTAAGGTATACTTTAGGAAGATGAACTGCTTTGTATTCCCATGTGTACATGTTTGCTTGTATGTGCATTGTCACATTGATAAGGCCCTTTCTAAAATGCTACACGACACCCTCATATGGGCAAAATGTCCTGAGTTTGATTAGCAGTGTGTGAACGTGTTTAATAACATTTCGGCTGTGCTTTATGGGGACTTTATGGGTTCTAAGACACTAAAGTAAGAAGCTCGAATGATCATTAACCCCTTCACTTACACACTGCAGCCCTAGATACACACATACTACAGCTTCTTTCAGCACACGCACAATCTGTGCAGCAATTATACATGCACACCCACATTATATCCACATAGTACCCACAAATACCCCCTTTTTACACATAAGGCAGCCCTTTCCAACGTTGTTCCTTGGTATCCCACTTATGGATACACCAGCATGTGTGGCATTACATTTGCTTGCACTGTGCAAAACAAAAACAGGGCATTTCACCCATCTTGGGGCTGTAGAAATTTCAGGTAAGTTCCCACACTTTTTTCCCCAGAACTTGACTCTTAGTATAGAGTTTGTGCTGAAGGTTTGACATAAATAGGAGAAAAAAATATTTTTAAATAGGGTTTTCTTGCAAACTGTACTGTACTCTTTCAAAAGAGCATAAGTGGAAATACAGAAGAAAGGTATGCTTTAGATATGAGACTGTAAGGCTGGAAATCACCACAGAGTCTGAAAACCCTTTTGCTGCCATGGACTTACGCACCAACAAAGAAGTTTCTGCTTTCCGCTATCTCTATAATCAGCTAATGGGGAAACTCAACGAAGTCACACTACATAGATGTAGTATCAATAAGCATTCAAAGGTTTTAAAGGACCACTATAGTCACCCAGACCACTTCAGCTCAATGAAGTGGTCTGGGTGCCAAGTCCCCCAGGTTTTAACCCTGCAGCTGTAAACTATGTTTACATTGCAGGGTTAATCCAGCCTCTAGTGGCTGTCTTCCTGACAGTCGCTAGAGGCGCTTCCCCGATGCTTAATGCGAAAATCGCATTGAGCACGCAGAATGTCCATAGGAATACATTGAGAAACTTGGGAGCGGACATCGGAGGGAGAGGAGAGGTCACCAGCGCCGAGGGAGCCCGATGCTGGATAAAGGTAAGTGACTGAAGGGGGGACCTAAGGATTATATAGTGTCAGGAAAACGAGGTTGTTTTCCTGATACTATAGTGATCCTTTAACAGTGGCAGCAGTCAGTAGTCCCTTTCACTAATGATCGAACTTTGGGAAACAGCTTCAACTCACTATAAGTAGTGACAGGCAGTTTAGCGAGTAGTGAATTGCTGGTAAAACGTACCAAAAACACTGGGGGAAAAAAGCACTTAGGGTTCAATGGTACAGATGCACTTGGGATGCAATGTACTGTAGCTCCCCTACCTCACTGCTAGCCATATCCTTGCTGAGAGTGATGGGGGTTATGCATTGCATTGTCAACAGTAGGAAACTAGCCAGGCAGTTAGGGCTACTGCAATGCAGGGCTTAACTCACAAGAGCTAGTGAAAGCTCAGAGCTCTCACTGAAGTTGAGGTGGGGAGCAGCAACAGCAGGCAGACCCCAGGTACGAAGTCTAACCGTACTAAATTATTCTATAGCGCCATCTTGGTTACGGTGTTTGGAGTGCTCCTTTAAGCTTAGTGACAACAATTTTAATGTGTTGCCAGGAGCCTGGACACACTTTTTTCTCATGTTGAAAGGCAGCACCTTCCTGCAGTATTTGTGCTGCAGGATTTCAGACTTGCTCATTTCCTCCTGCAGGCTGCAGCATTTGAATTCTACATACTAGAATACTAGTACTTTTCTTATGCTGTCCATCTTACGGTTAAATGTCCAGGAAAACAAGCTGGACCTGCCACCATATCCCTCATTAGTGATGGCCTATGAGTAAGAATAATGTCAGCCATACCCATGGCAGCAGTGATTAATAGTGATTTGTGGCAGCTGTTTTCAGTCTTATCTCCTGTGACTGCTAGAATAATGGGCAGATAAAGTTACATTTAAAGAGAGACATTTAAGTACAAATTAAGTTTAAAAAAAACAAACAAAAAAAAACTTCAATTATCCATTTCCACATTTTCCTGTGATGATATTATCAGTGTCTTTACAAAATAACTGGGCGTGCCAGTTAATTGTATTTATATGTTAAAGACCTGTTAGATCACACCCCTTGTGAAAAAGAGCTGATTCCTAACATATATGCTATAAAAAGCTTCGCATCGCAAGCCCCTACAACTACAATTCCCGTGATGCTCTTCGAGAAAGGTGTGCCAGACGCGCATGCGCCCCGTGCCAGCTTTCCTTTCCACTCCAGGTGCCACCAATCAGAAAGCAGCATGCGCTGAGGTGGGCGGGCGCTCAGGTAAAATGTCAAACTTTTAATGCCCGAACGCATGCGCGCCGCTGGGGAGCCGAGCTGCCGACGCATGCGCAGTGGGGATCGGAAGGTTCACCAGCGGTGTGTGACGTCAGCACGCTTGACCCGGAGGGGGAGTCTCGCGCCTGCGCCGTCCCGCACTGAGTGAGAGAGGACAGGCAGACGGACGGATGCCGGGAGGGCCGGAGCCGCGGGTCCGCCCGAAGCGGGGTGCAGGAGGAGACGGGGTGGCAAAGGAAGAAGAGGCACCGGTGGGAGGCTCCTCCCGCAGACGGAAAGCAGAATGCCCGCGGAGGAGGCGGAGCCGCCGGGAACTGCCTGGGGAGGAGGAGGAGCTAATGCATGGGGGCAAAGACAGGTGAATGACGTCACGAAGCAGGGAGTGGGCCAGGTGAAGGCGAACTGAGCTTCAACCTGACCGTCCCCAGTGTGCAGGGTGGGCGTGTCCTGGCAGGGTGGGTGTGGGATTTTAAGTTGCAGTAGGAGGGGCTTTTTATTTGCATATGGCAGACTCAGTGTAATCATTGGAGTGCACAGAGTGGGTTAGTGACCAGGTAGGTAACTTGCCTGTTAATAGCATTATTGCAGTACCCAGGTATGGGGCAGGAAGTGCTAGGAGTATAATCTGCATAATGGTGGCTGACAATTGAGGTGGGGGGGTTATTTGTTAAGTGACTCAGCCTGTTTTCAGGAGTCCACCAGTGGTCCTCATGAATAAATGTTAAAGTGGGAATGTGAGGTTGTAGATTCCATAGAACTTGTGTATGCAGAAATTCGAATTTTGCTACCTGCTTGAATTGTCTCAAGTGAAATATTAAAGATTTGCATATGCCTCGTTTATGTTTAATGTAAATGATGTGAGTTCTATTGCGTTTCCAAAACGTTCTTTAGAGAACCAAAATAGTTGTAGACATTTACAGTTGTTTTTTTTTTTTGAAGGTCATGATTTCGGAATTTCTTTAGTCTATTTAAAAAAAAAAAAAAGTCTTAAAGTGTGGGTATGTGGATATTTTTTGTAATCATTAATATTCTATCCCGAATCACTGTACTTTCTTTGCATTTTCAGCTTCATGGAGGGAGATATGGTGGCAGATAAAGGTAGGATTATTATTTTTGTCTTTCTTGTAGGCCTGACTTGACACTGGTTATCCATTCTGAGTGTCTTGGCAAAAGCAATATTAAATTAAAAGCGTCATATCATCAGGATATGACATATACTTCCCCTTTTAACAGATATTAAAAGCATACTGTTACTTCCAAAACAATGTTAGCTTAATGAAGCAGTTTGGGTGTATAGATTATACTCTTGCAGCATCACTGCTCAATTCTCGGCCATTTGAGTAAAATCACGTTTTTCTCTGTTTATGCAGACCTATTCACACCTCCCATGGCTTGCATGAAAAAAATGGTTTCAGTTTCAATCCGCAGTGTTTTCACTTTAGAAGTTTGTAATCTCATGCTCTGTTTTTTGAACAGAGCAGAGAAGAAATTTTAAATTAAACAGACTGTGCAATAAAGACACTTGAACATTGATTTCTATAGCTATTTACAGTGAATTTGTAAGGAGACTGTGTTGTCACATGCAGGAGATGTGTGACTAGGGCTGCATAAACAAAGTGATTTAACTCCTGAATGGCAGAGAATTGAGCAGCTAGACTCTAGGACAGGAATAGTCAACCTTTGGCACTCCAGATGTTGAGGACTACATCCCCCATAATGCTCTTACACCCATAATGCTGGCAAAGCATCATGGGAGGAGTAGTGCAAAACATCTGGCCTATGCCTGCTCTAGGGGATTGATCTATACAACAAAAAACACTTTATTAAGCTAAAGTTTGGTGCTTATAGTGTCCCTTTTAAAGGGACACTATAGTCACCAGAACTACAGCTTATTGAATTTGTTCTGGTGAGTAGAATCATTACCTTCAAGCTTTTTGCTGTATACATTGTATTTTCAGAGAAAATGCAGTGTTTACATTACAGCCTAGTGATAACTTCACTGGCCACTCCCTAGATGGCTGTTAGAGATCCTTCCTGGGTCATGGCTGCCTAAAATGCCTCCAAACATTCAGTATTTCCTCCCTCAGCATGCAGACATTGAACTTTCCTCATAGAGATTCATTGATTAAATTCATCTCTATGAGGAGATGCTGATTGACCAGGGCTGTGTTTGAATTGTGCTGGCTCTGCCCCTGATCTGCCTCTTTGTCAGTCTCAGCCAATCCTATGGGGAAACATTGTGATTGGATCTGGATGTCAGTGGGTAGGTCTGAAGGAAATAGGAACAAAAAATGCAGCTGCAGACTTGAATACAAGTAAGTTTTACTATTTTTAGGGAGGCATGAGAGGGGGCAGGGGAGCTAGATGGTGGTTTTATCCCTATAGGGTCAGGAATACATGTTTGTGCTCCTTTAAATACCCTAGTGTAATCCCTACGGTTGCAGGTTTAGTGTATAACTCTGCAAGCCTTTAAAGAGGAACTGGTACTTCCTCACTCTTGGCACAAACAAATGGCTAACTAAAAGTTAACTATTGGTTGTGCTAAATGTTTTTTTAAATTCTTTTTGTTACAATTTTGCTTACGAACTTAGCTGAGCAAAGTCATTAAATTGGCTAACTCTTGCAATTGCCTGCTGGAGAAAATGTCATGCCCATGCACAGAATTTCTCCATTCGGTGACTGCTCTCTTCCAAGGCATCAAGCACAGAAGTGCAGCAGAGGTAAGTTATTTGCTTCTTTTGGGATTTTGTTTTTTTCCCTTACCTCTGCTGCACAGTTCACCCCAATAAACACTGTAATAGCATTTACTGGGGTCAAGGAACTGTCAATTATGTGGAAGTGACAGTTCTTCTTCAATTAAACTTAAGTGCCCTTTTCTTGGTTTTTAATCTTTTTAGAACTTGACACTTTTTTTCTATTTAATCAGGCCAACATAATCAAACCGGGTTATTCACTAAACTTCAAGCACTTAACTCCACAATCTGTAGAATTAAAACCAGCATGTTAATATTTAGTCTAAACTAGTCAAGCTGCGTATGTAGCTGAGTTGAAGTTTTCCAGATCAGCCATTTATTTTTTTCTCACCTAAATTTTGACACTTGGATTTTAATTTAGATACAATTCTGAGTTTAGTGAATATTCCTAAGTCATTAAACATTATCGACTGTGCATATGAAGAATCATTCCAATGTGTTGCCACTCTTATTTTCTTAGCCATTTTAGCACCAAAGCGGGAAGTGGAGGAAGATGAAGTAGTGATACAAGATATAGAACCTACAATATTGATCCAGGATCATCCACTGGAAGTAGTAGAGAGCCATGCTATAGTGAGGGAAGGAGTCCTACGCAGCTCGCGAACTAGTCAGACCCAAACCCTGCAACTCATTTGCAAATCTGAACCTGATCAACATCAGCTTGTGTATGGTAAGAAAAATAAACTTGGCAGTACATGGAAAATGGTGAATCACATACTTGCAATTTATGTCTGATACATGTATCTATTGGGTACCTGAAGTTAAAATAATTGGTTGGTTACATAGTTGTATGAGCAAAAATAAAGCTGTGGGATGTATAACTTTTTTTTATTTATTTTTTATTTATTTATTTTTTAAACCAGCTAAAGCTGTTAAATATTTGGACCTGAGAGTACCATGTTGGCTGGTTTTTGAAATTTGCTTTGAGCAGGTGGAATATTTTGTGAAAAGCTACTTTTTAAAATGCCGTTGATTAAATATTGGTCTTTTTTGTTTTTCTTGTTTCCTTTTATGGAATATAACACAAGATTTATTATGTCTAGTTAATAGTCTTTTCTAGAGTGGCTTTTGGGCTGACCAACCAGATGTGAAACGCTTACATAACTGTGGTGCATAATAAATCTGAAAGTACACGTGTGTCTAAAACATATATCTAAATAAATATATACACACACTCAAAATTGCAAGTCCCACATTATTTGTCACTGCAAGCCTGCAGGATCCATGGCACACTCACCAAAGTGAATCTCTTCGCTTGGGAGTAGGGTCATTTACAGTGTTTTTCACTAAAGTGAGAATTCAAAGTGAAATTAAAACTTAGAACCATGGCTTCTGACTGAAAACATAGCTGACGTAGAGATTTATTTTCAGTCCAGCTATTTTGATCTTGACTTCGAAATTCACTTTGAATAACCCTGTAAATATAGACATTGTACCATACATTGCCATTAGGCATTTATGCACTTTTGTCTTTTTAAACCTGTTGATCGGCATGGCATTCATAATGTTTTGCTTACAAAAATAAATACACATTGCTATCATTGTGAAATACTGCTATGGAAAAATTCAGCCACTAATGAATGAAAAATGACGTTCACGTTGTATAATGATATACAGATTTTTTTTTTGATTTTTTACTTACTATTTAGAATCATGTACATTTTGAAGGGTGGTCACATAATATTGGAATTCTGTCTTTTTGTTAAATGTTGAGCCTTGTCAGATAGTTGAAACATTATAATACAGTGGCTGCATGCAAGAAAAAGGTGTAAAACAAACAATACTAGGATTCACTGTTATACTTGCCAAATTAAATACTTAAATGTGCTAGACAAGACACAACAAATTCACGGTGAAAAAGTAATGTGACCTGGAATTTTGAATTAGTCTTCCTGTTGGTCAGGAGAGACGAGATCTGCTTATTGCCTCCATTTACTGCCAGGGAGTAGATTGTCTATGCATGATGCAGTAGTATAGTACACTTTCCCAGTTCTCTCTGCACTCTCATACAGCATAATGACTCACTGCGCCAGAAAGAAGCGATATATGTTACACCATGTTATGCAATATTTGAAAAGAATGAAAGGGTAGCTGGGAAGGCCTTATTTGCTACAACATCATACAGAGACTGCTTTCTAAAACGAGGGAAAGTGCTACTGACCTCTCAACTCCTCTCCTTCCTCACCATTGACACAGGCAAGCCACAGAGTGGAGGAGAAGCACAGTATGCAAACTGGCGAGTGTTAAATAACCACTCAAAGTGCGAGATATTTAAATGTTAACGATTTGGTACTAGACTACCTTTTATATTTCCACTAAGGGACATTTTATGGTAGCCTCACCAGGTGTTCTAGATCTGAAAAGAATTAAACATTTCTTAGCTACCCTAGGAAAGAAATTAACAAACCTTTGGTGACAGATTGTCACGGAGGCCTAGAAATGGGACCTGGAACTTAGAATTTGTGTTTTCTTAAAAGGACACTGGAGTCATCCAAACCACAACTTTTAATGCAGTGATCCTGGTGTCTATAGCCTGTCCATTAGGCTTTTTAATGTACACACTGCCTTTTTGAGAGAAAAAAAAATCTTGCTACTTAGGAACACCTTTGCTAAACGTTGCCCATACACATGCATTGATTCAATGCACCTCCATGTGGAGATGCTGATTGGCGCATCGCTTTTTGCCGCACGTACTCAATAGCCTCACAATGCTTTCTTATGGGCTGAGAATTGCAACATTGCAAAGCAGTCTGAGGGGGTCGTAAAGCGAAGTAGTTAGTATAGTGTTCCTTTTAATCTCTTCTGACAAATGGTAAGTCTGCTTACAAGGGCATAAACTGTTCATGCATAATGCAATAACATATACAGTTTTCCCTTGTGTTAAACAATAGAGCTCTACTTTATTTTCAGCAGGTGCAGGGAGAGAAACTGTTTAGTATTGCAGCTGCTATAATTTGTAATGGATTTTAGCTAGAATCACAATTGTGGTATTGAGTCTGCTAAATTGTGTGGATTTGTGTCTAGTTTGGGTGTGTCTGCATGGTTTTCATTGAGGATTAATATTAGTTGTGGGTATGATGCCAGGAGGACCCTGGCACAGTTCCCCACTAATGGGGCAAACCATTTAAGACTTGTTTGCCCTCTTACCTGGGTCTGGGCTCCAGGGCTCCTCTCCTTTGTGGTTATGCTTTTCTGCTTTCTACAAAGGTGTAGTCAATGAATTGCAAACAAGAGCTAGTGACACCCCTAGGATGCTGCTGGAGGTGGAGTTATACCTTTGGCAGCAGATGGGTAAATTTCATACGTGTGCAGCATTTCTTATTCAAATGCTGTGAATACAAACTCCAGGCACCATGACCACTTCAAAACGCTCAAGTGTTCATGGTGTTTGGAGTACCTCTTAAATTGCTAAAAAAAAAATTATTTAACACCGAATGGAGGAACATCACCAGGTAACTCAAGGCACTATAATCAATTCCGAAACGGCAGGTTATAGTACCTAGAGCATCTTCTTAAAGTACTGTATGCAGCATCACTTTTAGTGACTCTTGTTGAATTAATACTCTAAGTGCTAAAACCATCACATCTTAATGTAGAAGTTTTTCGTGCATATATGCTTGTGGTTTTTATCTGGCAATGTAAAACATTGTTGACAACTGTTTACATTTATCAGAGAACATGCCTCTAGTAGCTGTTAGACAGATAATGATCTCATAAGGATTCAGTTCTTCACTGAGAAGCATCTGATTGACAAATGTGGCTATTGCTGTGCCTGTACCACAAGAGCCCAGGCCTTCCCTAGGAGTAGCATTTGATTGGACAGAGATCATTAAAGTAACACTAGTCACCAGAACTACAGCTTATTGTATTTGTTCTGTGAGTAGTATAATCCATCACTTCAGGCTTTTTTTGCTGTAAACACTGTTTTCAGAGAAAAGGCAGTGTTTACATTGCAGCCTATGGATACCTCCAGTGGCCATTCCAAAGATGGCTACTAGCAGTGCTTCCTGTGCAGCACTGCCATTCAGTGTCTCCAACCTCTGCATGGAGATACAGAACTTTCCTCATAGAGCTGCATTGATTCAATGTGTTTGGCTTGTGCTGGCTCTGCCCATGATTTTTCTCCTTGATAGTCTGTCAATCCATTGTTTTCCTATGTGAAAACATTGTGATTGGCTCAGATCAACACTACAATTTTTGTCCACCAAGGAGGCAGATCAATAAACTGTGACTGTGATACAAAGGAACACTCTTAGGTTAAAGGGACTCTCCAGTGCCAGGAAAACAGTTTTCCTGGCGCTGCAGGTCCCCTCTCCCTCCAGCCCCCCCATCCCAAATTGCTGAAGGGGTTAAAACCCCTTCAGTGACTTACCTGTATCCAGCGCTCCTCTTCCCCTCCCCCCCACCCCCCGACGTCATCTGACGGGGGCGACCTATTGCGCATGCTTTCCCACCGACTGGGGCGACCTAATGCGCATGCACGGCACTGCCACGCTCGCGCAGTAGACCTCCCCATGGTAAAAGCATTGAAAAATGCTTTCCTATGGGGATTTCAGCGACGCTGGAGGTCCTCACATAGTGTGAGGACGTCCAGCGATGCTATAGCACACGGAAGTGCCCTCTAGTAGCTGTCTAGTAGACAGCCACTAGAGGAGGACTTAACCCTGCAAGGTAAATATTGCAGTTTATGAAAACTGCAATAATTACAGTTGCAGGGTTAAGGGTAGTGGGAGTTTGCACCCAGACCACTCCAATGGGCAGAAGTGGTCAGGGTGCCTGGTGTGTCCCTTTAAAGATAGAGTATCTCTAGTGTCATAATGCTCATAAAGACATGCTATTATAGGATAAATATAAAATAAAAAAAAAAATAAAAAAGGTTAATAAAATGTGAGTCCGCTTTATCCTATGTAAACAAAGATATTACTTCAGAGATTGGACCTTACTGATGCCACCATCTTCTCCAGATCCTGGTGCCATTTGAAGCCCACGTCACCACTACTTGCTCAAGATGTAATGCATTACACCTAGTGCAATTCGGACAAGGGCATAAAAAGCATTAACCATTTCCAAGTTTGTGAATACATTCATAATACTGCTTTGCTTGCACAGATGCTTTCCATAGAAAAGTGTAGAACTCGAGCGTATATACAATTAAAATATCTGTTGATGTCTTGAGTGTTGTATATGTTTATATGATGAGAGCATTGATTGTCTGGACATAAATTGAGCCAATTGTTGCTACTGTGAGTAGCAGATAGGAAAAGATTGCAAAGTGTAAATAATGTTGTGCGTAATCTGTATAATGCATTAAAACAAGAATCTGCGAATTCCAGGATAGTCTCTCTAAATTATGCTTGATGAAAGCGGTAAAAGATCATGGTAGTGTCGTGGATGACGTCTATTTTTATTTTATTAAATTACCATTAAAGTTACCCAGACTAATCTCAATAAAGTGTTCTTGTGGCAGTGGTTGTAGCGGACCACGGATAACTAGACTGGTTACCTCCGCTATAGCTTTCCGGCAGCCACTCTGGAACCATCAGCACAAGTAAATACCCATTCCCCCAGCTAGCAGACGAAACATAATCCTGGGAGTCAGTTGGGGTTTATTGGAACACACATGGCTTTTATGCACAGACCCCTAGATGGGTTCTCCCATACAGTAATACAAGGCTTTTCCTCCCAGGATCCTTTACAGAAAAATATACAATATTCTGAGATATCCGAGCTAACAATCCAAATTCCTCTTTGAAGCTGGGACCCCAACCGAGCCACTCTGCCATGTGTGTGAAGTCACACACTCGTGGCCTGGAAGTCTTCAGTATGAACTAACTCTCTCACTTGCTATATGTCCTGATTTCCTTCTAGATAAGGTGTCCTTTGATATGAATAGTCATCAGCTCTCAAGAAAACCCCCTGTGCTCCAGTATCATATCCAAAAGAGACACTAACACTTACCCACAGATTAACCCCTTAAGGACCAAACTTCTGCAATAAAAGGGAATCATGACATGTCACACATGTCATGTGTCCTTAAGGGGTTAATAACTAAGCCTCATTTCTATTACATTCAGAATGGCACAAGCACAAACTTCTAATCAAGCCCAAACATAATTTGCGAACAAGGGGAAAAAGCATATGAATGAGTGGTAGATCTGCCACACAGCTCCCCCTTAACCACAAGCCCGCATACACAATATAATCCCGACGGATCGGTTTGGGGATGTCCGGGGAAGTACTTACAGATCATTTTTCCAGTCCTATCTGTCGTGATAACCCGTCGGCAATCCCATTTTGCTTACCGGGTCTATAATGAATGGAAAAGTCGTATGGTTGTAGGGCCAGGCTCCACCTGGCATTGTCTCCAGCTACCCGGTTAAGCCATACCAATGGGTTGTGATCGGTGAGTAAAGTAAACTTTTGTCTATAAATGTATGGCTGTAGCTTTTTGAGGGCTCATGTGGGCATGGTACTCAGTGATAGCGTTCCGTCACAGTGGTCTTGTAATTTTAATCCCGCAATGTAAAACATTAGTGTGGTGTTTTTTTTTTTTGTTTGTTTGTTTTAGAAACCCCTCTAGTTGCTGTCAGTATGCGTAAAACTTGGTCATGTGACATAAAAGCCCCGTGGAAGCATCGATTTTAAATTTTGATTATGGGCATTAGGTCCCTAATTATCTTCATGCTTCCTCTGTGACGTTGCGGGAGGCTGAAAGGTAAGACGCGCCAAGGGAACCTCCGTGCTGGAAAATGGAAAGTAAAACTTTTTATACATTTTTGTATAAAGGTTGGTTAGACCTGAATGCAAGTAGAGTCATGGGCACTATAGTGTTGGGAATACAAATGTGTATTCTTAATGCTATAATGTTCCTTTAAATACACCTCCTAATTGGAGTCTTCCACCTCCATAACAGAGTAAAACTCGATTCTACAATCAAATGGCAGCATTTGATTGGAGGAGTTCAGTGTTGGGCCGCATATGCATATTGCCAATCCAGTACTTCTCTATGAGAAGGATTTAAATGAGTTTGCAGAAGGTGTCAACAGGCATGTTGACTTCTTTGGATGCGGAGCAGGTGGCTGCAGCAGAGGAGTCTCTACTTTGGAAACAAGGTAAGTAATCTTTCATTTTAGCAGTAAATGGGGATGGACAGTGATCACAGCGTTGGATGGGACCTAAGTCATTTGGCACACTTGTTTCTGTACATATATGAAAGGGAGAAACCATGGTTAGTTGTACATGGAAAATTCTCAAGTTTAACAAAATTGTGAAGTAGAGTACCTCATGTCTTTGTTCCACTTCACTTTAACAATTTTACAGGGGGAAGAGTTAAAAGTAACTTGCCTGTATTTGCATATGAAAAGACATCCTGTTCACGCTAGGCTGTACTTATTTTTTTTTTTTTTTTACTTCTCTAAAAAGGAATCTGAGGACTAGTATGACAATTGGCAGAAAGGTGTCAGTATAAATTGTATAGTGGCTGGGTGTTGGTGAAAAATGTTTTCTTTATTGGGTGGGATAGAATATGGGAGATACAGACCATGTACTACATCACAGGCATGCTTTCAACCCCCTCCTTATTTCCCCACCACCATATGCAGTATAATGAATATAATATAAGGCTCTTTCCAGCGGCAAGGAACCTTTTGTGTGGCCAGTCCAATCAAATGCCTAGGCAATGATTCTTTGCCAGACCATGGTGACAGCACTGAATGTGTCGTCAAGGTGTGTCTGGGTATCAGAGCTGGGAAGTAGCAATCCAGGTTCTCCTACTCAGAGGGCTTGCATGCGTGGCTTAAAGCTGCACATCAATACCTACAAACTATTTAAGGGACACTGCAGGCAGCCAGACCAAGGGGTCTGAGTACAGTGTCTCTGACACACTTAGTCCTGCAATATGAAGCATTGCAGATTTTTATAAACTTCAATATTCAAATTGCAGCACTAAGGCTGCCTTTAGTGGTTGTCTACCAGACAGCCACTAGAGGTGCTTTCTGGAGATTATTATATTTATATAGCACCAGCAAATTCCGTTATTTTATTTTTATTTATATTTTTTTACCGTTGCAGGAGATGAATTAGTTTGGAGCCATTAACAGTTTAATCGATATGCTTTTGTGAAAAAGTAAATTTTAATGAATTTTTTGAAGGAGTTGAGACTGAGTGAGCGTCTAACGGAAAAGGGAAGGGAGTTCCACAGGAACGGTGCAGCCCTAGAGAAGTCTTGAATGTGCGCATCAGATGTGGGAGTAACAACGCTGGATGTCCTCCCGCTCTGCATGAGGACGTCCAGCGTCTTAGAGAACCCTATAGGAATGCATTGAGGCAATGGTTTCTTATAAGCAAAGACCTAATCCGCATGTGGCGCTCACTACGAAAGCACATTAGGTCCCCATATTGGATGGCAACAGAAGAGGCAGAGTGACACAGTACCGAGGGACATTGGCACTAGAATCGGGTAAGTGAATGGTTTTTTTTTAACCCTTGTATATGCCGGTGGGGGAGGGTGGACCACAAGTGAGGGGTGAACCAGAGGGCATTGTAGTGTAAGAAACTAACACTATATTTTTTTTTCTATGAATTACATTTTTTGGGAGTAGGACTAAAGGCACTATAACAACTTCAAAATGTTAGTTGTTATACTGCCTGCCGTGTTCCTTTTAATGATTGGGTTTTAAAATGTTTATTTATCCCCCTCTCCCTCCCAATTCTACACAATTTACCTGAGGTTTGCAATTCATGTTTTCAGGTAATTGCACTATTGCTGTTTAGCGAATAAATCACAGATTTCCGGTTCAAGTGCATGTTGCATGCCCTCTGGGTGCATGAATGTCAAAAGTGTTTAAAATTTATAATGTATAAAACAGGATATTGTGAAATTGGCTCTAAAGCATTTATTTTAATTCATAATGGCAAAGGAGGTAGATTTCACAATATCTACCAGCGTGCTTTAATAATAGGATTGTCTATGAATATTGTTATTCATCTTACATATGTTTTTTCGAAGGCCAGCAACTGTATAAAAATGCAGTAACAAAAAACGAATATACATATAACATACCAACTAAAAGAGAGTTCTCACCCAGTAGTACATGCCATGCAAAATGTCCTTGTTACTTTTAATGGATCGCCTTAAACAGGAACTTGCCAGAATGGAGGAAAATGATATTCTAAAGAAAACGAAGAAACCCACTGATTGGGTTGATTCTATAGTGTTGGTGGAGAAACCTGATATGGGGGTATTGGATTCTGAATTGATCCCATGGAACTTAATGAAGGCATCTTAAAGGAACACTATAGGCACCCAGACCACTTTCTGATAATTAAAGTGGTCTGGGTACAGTGTCCCTATTGCCCTTAGTGCTGCAATGTTAAACATGGCAGTTCCAAAGAAACTGCAATGTTTATATTGCAGCACTAAGTCTGCCTCCAGTGGTTGTCTATCAGCGTTTCCTGCATCCAAACAGATCTTTGGTCAGGTATCTGATGCTGGACATCCTCACGCTCTGCATGAGGACATCCAGGGTCAGGTTTCCCTCTCCCCCCCCCATAGGAAAGTATTGATTAAATGACGGAGGATTCGGTGATGCCATGACCCAGCACCGAGGGACATCGGCGCTCGTATCAGGCAAGTAAATAAAGGGTTTTTTAACCGTTTATTTAATGCGGGGGAGGCAGAGGGAACTATAGTGCCAGGAATACAGCATTGTATTCCTGGCACTTATAGTATCCCTTTAAGAAACTCCCCCCTTTACCAAGGAAATTGCTTGGAGAGCTAAGTGGAGGAATTGTATTCAACAAACCTGATGCATCATCTGGATTTTGGCAGATTTTTATTTTTTTATTTTTTTTATTTTTTTTTATCGTCAGTTCAAGGTAAATAGCAAGGATTGTAAGGATACAGTAATTGCATTGATATTAATAAACATGAGTGTTGCATCTCAACATTTGAACTATTTCACAGATGCCAGTGCATAGACAGCGATAATGTCATGGAAGGGTCATATTTGCCATAAAATGCTTGATCATGTTGGTGTGGCTACCACTCCGTAAGGAGAGCTATGGTGACTACATTCCTGTCGCCAGGGATCTTTCTGTGTGCTGTGGGCCTGGCCCTGGTTCTAGGACAAGCCACATAAACTAAAGAGGAGTAGGATGATCAAATATCCCTTCGCTATCTTGCGGTATGGGGTGTAATGTCGGGACCCATGGTACCAATATGAGGCGGTGCTTCTGTACAATGGTTCGTGGCTTATTCCGCATATATTGCCTTATATACGTACTGGCATAGGGTTTTGTAGCATTGAGGTGTATGCAATATTTTCGTTGTGATAGGATGAGGGGGGGAAGCGGGGGATAGGGGTTATTTATTATTTATATAGCGCCATCAGATTCCGTAACGCTGTACAATGGGTGGACTAACAGACATGTAATTGTAACCAGACAACTGGACATACAGGAACAGAGAGGTGGAGGGCCCTGCTCAATGAGCTTACATTCTAGAGGGTTGAAAGCTAACTAGTCCTACATAACAGCAATTTACATGTTAGGTCGAGTATGGGATAGATTAGTACAAACTAAAGTGTTTTATAGTACCATGCAGCAACTTCTTGAATAGATACCATGCACAATCTGGGGTAAAACCAATAAAGAACAGGAATTGACAGAAGATGGTCTTAACTGTTGTTAAGGTGAGTAACTTAAAGCACAGTAAAAAAAGTATCAATTCAGAAAAACTTCAACTCCACTAGAGGTGGTGTTATACTAAATATGAAAAAGATTAAGGCAATTACCGAAATGCCACAGCCAGAAAATAAACTGCTGTGGCAAAACTGCTCTAATGCAACAACTACTCAGAAGAAAAATGTATGCTTGGGAATGGTCAGCGAATCCCAGAAAGAATGGAATTTTTTTTATTGGAAGGTACTGCTTACATACTATGCAATTCTTTGATCCAACAGCAGAATCAAAGTTGTCCACTGATGCTTCTGAGAATGGATTGGGAGCAGTTCTATTTCAAAATCAAGGCTCAGGATTACAGCCTATGGATTATTCATTTAGGGCATTGACGGATACAGAAAAACAATTTGTGCAAATTTAAAAGGAAACACTGGGATTAGTTTACGGATGTGAATTTTTTTATATTTGTATGGGAGAGTATTCTCAGCAGAATCTAATCTCAAACATTTGATCTACATCTACCAAAATGGCTTGATAGATGCACTTCCAAGAATTCAACTGTTGCTGATACTTCAAATGTATGGCTTCACCCTGGACTTTTTACCTGGCAAGGAGATGATGAAGCTGATACTGACTACTTACACTTTAAAAAGGAAAACTTACAGTTGCAGAAAGAGGTGACTGTTCACTTCAATCTGATCTTAAGGTCAGGCCTGTTCAGTCATGCAATGTGGGCAGCAATTAAGCATCCTACAGCAACAGATGCATTTCTTTCTAAGTCAAGTAAAGAAATCCATTCCAAATGGCAAATCAAAGGGGTCTATACAGCAACCTATGGCACTTCACGTGCCTTTGCACTGCTTTCAAGACTGCCAGGGGCTGAACAGGCTCTGGCCTATCAGGAATCCCAGTGGGACTTTAGATATCTGCTAGTGCAAATTGCGCATTAAATGCAGGTGGTGAGAGGCAATCCCCAGTTTAAACATTGCAACACTTAAAGGACGTGATCTCAGATCACTTCCTCCAAGTAGTTATGAATGGGAATTCACAGTGAAGAAGAGAGGCACACCGCAGCTACCACAGCTCCTGCCCTTGACCTGGTCCTGGCCAACCTGGACCCCAGGAAAGCCACCCACACTGTTACACATAGCTGCAGAATTAGCCTTTCCCTCATACAAATAATACAAACCGCCCACAAACTCAACACCACTGACAATCCATATACACACGCACACACACAATGTGACACATCATCCACATACACAATTTCACAAGCAGCCTACATTCATAGGTATCATACACAATACCACAAACTACTCATGAACATATACAATATAACAGCGGATATAAACACCGATGCAACTGCAGCACTCATAAATAACACAAGCAGAATACTGTAACATACACACTTCAAAAATAGGACCAGCATGACAAGGGGCTTAAAGATCTTGTTTTGGCACAGTACTACTAAAACGTTGCATACATCTGGTATAGACCAGTTGTGAACTTTCTTTGATTTTCAAAGGACAAGGACTGAAAAATTGCTGGAACAATAATCTTTCTAAGTCCTTATTAAATGAAGGTCATTCAAGTATAGAAAAGACCAACGACAAGCTGGAGACATTTTCTACTGACCAAATATTAATGAATACATTGAGATGATTACTCAATGCCTGACTTGCCAAGTATTCAGACCTCTGTTACCTTATAGTGGCCGATTAACTTTCCTTTGGCACTCTGGAAAACGTTAGGGATGAACTTTTTTTGTTTTAAAAAAACAGCATTATATGTGGTTAAACAATTACTTCTCAAAATACTCAGCATTATTGAAAGATGAGTCGGCAATTAACATTCCAAGAGTAATAATAGACAATGATAATCAATATAGTTTAGAAATTTTTCCAGTACCTATAAATTTGAACATAGAACATCCAGTCTGGGATTTCCTCAAGCAAATGGTTTAGCAGAAGCTCGAGTAAAGATAGTGGAAAAACATGCTTTGTAAAGCAACAGAAGCAGAAGGGGATTCATGTCTGGCTTTTTTTCAGTTTTAGAGCTACACCCTTAAAATGTAAGTCACTGGCAGAATTATTGTTTGGCAGACAGCTGCTTAAACTAGTACCAGTTTTCACAACCTTGGAAACCGTTCCCACAAAAACGTAATATAAAACAAAATCAAAACCAGGAAGAAAGGAATGAATGGTAAGACTGAGCTGCAAAACTTTTGGAGAATCTTCAGGTACCAAAGCCTGTATGAATACAAGGTTCAAACTGGAGCACTAAAGGGACAATTATCAAGCAATATTCTCCAAGATCATATGTAGTTCAAATCAATGATGGGCAATGCTTACATAGAAATCGTCAACATTTGAAGGCTATTCCATCAGTTCCCAACAATTCAGCAGTGAAGGAAACCTATGAGGATACATTGAACATTCCACTGCAGCTGGAGAATGGAGATGTCGGAGAAACTTTGCAAATTTCAACTGATTTGCGAGCTATCTCATCCAGTAAGGCAAAGCAAACAATGTCCAGTAGATATATAAAAAAACCTAATAGTCACAGGCTCCACTGCCCGCTCGAACCAGACAGCAGGCCACCCGACCGGGTGCATCTATGTGAGGAACTACCCACCCACCGCTACCCCGGGGGCCCACCTGACGCCACGTCCATTTCTCCAAAGAATCCCACCTCGAGACTACGGACGATGGATTCCACAGGATTGCCAAAGCGACGCAGAGTCCCCACTTAACCGCAAGTATAACACCCACTGGGCGGCTCCTACCAGACACTTACCTAGACACTGAGAGAACTGGTATAATGGGATGGAGGAACTACGAGACCCAGGTGAAGGGCCCATGAAGGCCGGGACTTGCTCCAATACGCAAATCCCCATCCGCTCACCAGAAAGCTCATGAGGCATGAAGGGACGCTGAGGTAGGGGACACACACCGGGTAAACATGCGCCCTGACCCTCTCGCCCACTACATATAGTGCCCGGGAGGAACGGGGGCCTGTCGCCTTGGATGGGCCTCGCTGCCGGAGCCTACCCGACCTGTGACGAACTTCGGGGAGCAGGCCGGGGCGATGCCGGCGGGGCTCACCTGGGGCGAGGGGTCAACGGCACAAACCTGACAAACGCAATGGGACCTGGGGACAAGGGAAGGGCCACACACGTCTGCCTATAACACTGAGAGCCAGACCCAATGCGCCCAAAAGCCCACCAAGGCCACACATGCCAACCAAGATAACGGGCACTCGCTAAAAGGGGGCGCGGGTCCAGGACAACATGGTCCAACCCGGGGGACACAATAACAAACACCTGACAACCTGGTTGATGTGGGAGAGGGATGCAAAATGTAAAAGGCTTAATGTATATGACTCCCAACCGTTCTAGTTCTGAATAAGTTGTTTTAACCTGTTGTGATAGTTAATCATCTGTTTATGCATGTATTATGTACTGACACTGACGCAATACGTAACTTTAGTCAAACACCCATGCTGGCCTTAGGGCCACCACACTTTAAGGCGAGGAATACAGACGCGCACGCATCGAGATAACACAAAGGATCCGCAAGGTGGTGCCACGGAACTGTAACTGTCTCTAGGACACCAGAGTTTCCCCAGTAATAGATCAGGCGCAGACTCGGACCACAAGGAACACCGGGGCCTCCTTCCAAGGCGTCACCCAGAAGGTGAGCAAATCGCACGAACCACAGGTGGTATCGTGTGCCAGCGCTCTCCGACGCCTCCACCTAGCCGTCACTCACTAGTCACGAGCCCCTTGGAGGATCCATGAAAACTCTTACCACTCTCCTACTCCCCTGACCCTACACTGACCACCACACATACCGGACACCCTGACCTCCCCACCCCCTCCCCAAAGCAGACTTACTCAGACACAGACGACCACAAAGACCCCATCCCCAATACTCTAACCAGGCGACATGGCATTGATGCCAGACCACCTTAATATCCTCACAGTCAATGCTAGGGGACTAAATAAACCAGAGAAACGATCGGGGGCCTTGAGGGACTTCCACAAAATAAAAGCCTCGATAGTCATGATCCAAGAAACACACTTTAGGAAGGGAGCCAGACCTAAGCTTACCAACCACCACTACCCACAGGGCTACTACTGCCAAGGGGGAAAGTCCAGGGGAACTGCGATACTTATAAGCAGGAGAGTGCCGTTCCAGGAGGGGGGGTGCCTGTCGGGCGGCGAGGGTAGATTTCTATTTCTCAAGGGGAAGATCGCGGGTCAAGAGTACACGTTCGCAAACATATACACCCCAAACAAACAACACTATTGATTCCTCCGACATACACTTCGCAAACTCCAAGACTTCACAGAAGGGGTTCTCCTACTCTGGGGAGATTTTAACATAACTCCAGACCCCACCTGGGACTGCTCAACAGGCACTTCCCATATCCCAACCCAACAACTCCACTCTCTCAAATCCCTACTCCGCAATCACCAACTCATCGATTGCTGGAGAGCCCACCACCCTGATGAAAGGGACTACACCCTTTTTTTTTTTTTTCTCTACCCGCATGGATCTTATTCCCGACTAGACCACATCTACACCTTACATTATGACCTTCCCCTGGTGATAGAGGTGACAACGAGGTCAGACCACGCTCCGGTAAAACTTAAATCCCTGCTCTTCCACCCCACAATCTCGAAATGGAGACTTAACGAATACCTACTCTCCAGAACAGACATCACGGTCCACATAGGAGAGAAAATCAAAGACTACTTCACAGATAACACCCCAGAACAGACATCCCCAACAATCAGATGGGAGGCCCACAAAAGTGTAATAGGAGGCCACTTCATACATCAAGGAGCCATACTTTAAGAGGCAAGCCAAAACCCGGCTTACCGAGCTACTGGCCGACATACAAAAGACAAAGGAACAAAACAAGCTCAAACAAGACTGCTCCCACCAAACCCGACTCTTACAACTACGATGAGACCTTGCTACACTGCTCCACTCTAAACACCACAGAGACGCGGTCAGACACAAGGCCTTCTTTTCCCTACATGGGAACAGGAGCGGTAAACTCCTAGCCACTATGCTGAAAAAACGAAGACAGCAGACCTACATTGACCGAATTAGAGACAAACACGAGACCCTATACCGTCTCCCGACCGAAATCCTGACAGCGATTCGCACATACTACTCAGACCTATACACACTACCGCAGCCACAAACCGAAACGGCGAAAACACTAATACACGAGTCCATCCGGGCATACAAAATACCCGATACCGACCTTAGACAACGAGATCTCCACGTTAATAGACGAACCTCTCACATTCGAGGAACCAGTGCTCGTGGTCAAACAAGGCAAAAGCCTGGGCCCGGACTCCCGACGAAATATTACAAGACCTTCGCTCACCATCTTTACCCACCGATGCTGGAATCCTTCAACGCAGTAAGGGACAGACAACACATACCTAAACAAGCCCTATCATCCCCAAAGAGGGCAAGGATGGTGAATACTGCGGGAATTACAGGCCAATCTCGCTTATTAACTGCGACATTAAATTGCTGGCCAAAATTCTGGCGACCCTGCTTAAAACGCACATCCCCTCGCTGGTCCATCCACACCAGGTGGGATTCGTGGCGGGACGCGAAGCGAGAGATAATACTATCAAGACACTTACCCTCATGCACGGAAGGAGGGGAGGTGCTTGGGGCCTTCTCCTGCTGTCAACAGACACGGAGAAGGCCTTCGACAGGGTCCGCTGAATATACCTCTTTGAAACACTAGCCCACATGGGGCTGGGACCCCACTTACGGAGATGGATAGAGGCACTGTACCACGAGCCTATGGCTCACGTATTGGTTAACGGGGCACTAACTACTGCATTCACCAGGCAGGGATGCCCCCTATCCCCGCTGCTATTCGTCCTCACCCTTGAGCCGTTCCTAACACACATCCGACACAACAAAGACGTCACCGGACTAGAAACGGGCACTGTACACCATAAAGTAGCCACGTTTCCGGACAACCTCCTCTTCGTGGTGTCCAATTCAGAAATCTCCCTCCCCAACATACTGAAAGCCTTCCAGACATTCAGTGATATCTCCAACCTGAAAATTAACTACACCAAGTCATATCTCCTTTAATGTCAGCGTACCAGCCAAATGCGCCGATCCCCCACGTCGAAGCTTCCCATTCCAATGGGCCGACCACAAGATCAGATATCTGGGAATTTGGCTGACCTCTTTCTGGGAAAACTTTGCGGAGATGCTGCGGACGTTCCAAAAAGACATGAAGGACTGGACTTTCCCACACATCGTGGCCAGGGAGAGTCCATGTCATAAAGATGGATTTCCTCCCACGCCTCCTATACTTTCTCCAGGCCATCCCCATTACGATTCCCAAAACATTCTATAACTCCCTTAGAACCGCAATGACCAACTACGTTTGGAAGGGCAGGAGACCCAGGATGAGACTCACCACACTTATGCAAACCCAAACCCACCCTAGGCGTATGGCGGAAAGCCTCGAAAATAGGCAACCTGGTGCCGTACCCCTCCTGCCACTGACCCACAATGACAACTTCCCGACCCAAAGACCTTTAAAGATATTCTCCCAGTCGCCTACACCACATTACTAACGAGAGGGAAATGCAAACCGCTATCAGACATGCTGGAAGAGACCCTTCCTACACAACTTCAAGCACGCTCAGTTGGCCAATTTGTCCTCAACCTACCCCAAGGACTAGCACTCACTAGAGACCGGACCACGTTCGAAACGGCTTGCCTACACTCTGACCCCATACCACACGGAGTTTCCTCCTTATACTCCATGCTCCAAACAGAGAACCCCTTTTCATGGGAAAGTGGGAAACCGCCACTTGTGCCTGGAGGGGACTACTGGCTAGCCTCCTGCCTTCCGACTATGGCCCCTGTGCTGATAGCTGTATTTTACCCTGCAATAAGGTTTATTTGGGTATTTCTGCCGGGTTGTTCGGGACTTCCAGTATGTGAGTAGTGCTACCCCAGATAGCCATGCCATGGAGCCTATTTGTGTAACGAAAGACTATGGAAAAGACTTTGGCTCCATGGCGATTGAACTGTATGTATGTGATCTGAGCGCCATTCAATAATAATGTGCACTCAGATCTAAGCTATCTGGGGATATGTTGCAGGTTTTATGTAGTAATTGTAACATTGTGTAATTTTATGTCTTTTTGTAACCATGTGGTTAATGGAGTCTTGCCTCTGTCCTGGGAGATAATTTGATTACTTCCCAATTATCTCCAGGATAGAGAGGAGGGATTGTGATGTCACTGTGGGAGTGTTTTGTTTGTATTGTCTGTGACTGGTTATACTGTGTCCCACCCTGTGGGATGTCCCCTTGCATGGGGACTTGCATAAAAGCCAGTGTGTGGTCATTAAAACCAGATCATCTTGTACCTTTCTTGAAGCCTTGGCTCATGTTTGGGGGAAGGGATACCTACACTCTGGGGATTGCTATAATCACTTACTCCCCAGAGTAAGCTCTTGCAATAGCTTGTTTTGTTCCTGCTCTCTGGATTTAGGAGAGGTTCACCCACTGGAAGCTGGATTCTGGCCTTGGATCCAGGGTGGGTGAGAGACGGCAAGACCCAGGCGCAGCTGCATCGCTGGAAGTGGGGTCTGCAGTGCTGATGGTGTCGGAGTGCTCAGAGTCCTCGGCAAGCGCTAGGAGCATCGGTTGGCGGAGGTACTCAGTCGGAGTGCCAGTGTTCCGTCACACCGCCCTAGACACTACATTCTCGGAAGCAGAATGGGACTCCACCTGCTACTTCACACATCATTGCTCGGTTTATAGTAGAACACAGGAGACTGCCTACAAGCTACTAACGCACTGGTACAGGACACCACATCTCCTTCACAATATAGACCCGGACCACTTCGAAATGTGCTGGAGATGTGAAAGAGAGGTAGGAACCACAAAACATATCTGGTGGGAATGCGAGGTGATCAAACCATACTGGGAGGGGATACATAAAATATTAGAGGTGTTCTCCGAACCAGCGGCAATGCTCCTGCACCACACATCCATTCCCCATCTAAATACAAGAAATACATGACTGTCAGAATACTAAATATAGCCAAACAAGTTCTTCCTCAATTCTGGAAACAAAAGGTAACACCCCCATTCAAGACCTGGTTCAACCAAATGGAGGAACTCAGATCAATAGAAGAACTGGACACACTGGATCCTTGAGACAGCAAAAGACGAATTCCAACTAAGGCTCCGATACGACGACCACCGCAACACCGACTGAAAGAACCTCTGAACCAAACCCCAGAGAACAGCTGACTACCGACCTTCCCTGCCACCCACAGACATACCCCCCTCACCCAGCTACACCCACCTCCCTAAGGGACTCCTAAGAAACAGCTCTAAACCATCCTGAGGTCCCACAAAAGATCGGATGCGACCACACTACAGAGACCCAGGAGATACAAATAACACAATACCCACACAAACAGAGGCCACATGATACGTGAAGACTACTACTCCTGTACATGCCAGCCCTCAAACCACCACAGAGTACTAACTCACGTTACAAACGAGTGAAGGGGCCTGTGTGTCCTCACCCCAGTAGGGCCCGCGTGCCCAGATGGAAATGTAACCACTAAACTTATTACACTACGACCTACTCTAATAACAGTGGCCCAGGAGACAGACAAGGCCCAAGGGCCTACACCACTGAGACGAACAAGGAAACCTCACAGGAAACATGAGACACACACCCACTATCCCCGAGACCCCTGACTAAAGTTAATCCGTCAACAGGGTAGCGGACCTAACCCTACCCCATACCATCGAACATCTAAGGGACCCGCACATATACCCATACCTAGCCAAAAAGGCCGATACCCCCGACTCCTTACCCAAGGTATCGATGCCCTACCCAACTGCCCCCAACCCTCCCCCAAGACAATATTATCCTAGCAAACGACACAGACCTATATTACAGCACCTGTTCAGTATATGTTCATTAAACAAAAGGGACCTGTGTGTCCAACAAAAAACTGCTAAAAGCCAAACAATGGAGACCTGCGAGTCTCAGGAGATATCCTCAAACAAAAGTTACAGAGACCTGCGAGTCTCCTAAAATTGTTGTTTTACTAGGGACCTGCGAGTCCCACTTCGTATACAGTTGCCTATTGAAAATCAAAAACTGAAAATAACCAAAATAACAAAGAAAAACCATATTCACAAAAAAAACACTAATCGTCTCATTGAATATTGTTAAAAGGGACTGAAGTTCTTTCACAATACAGTTATTGCTCATGACTGTCTTTAAAAAAATAATAATAATAAAATGGAAATTAAAACCGTTCACCAACATGAAAGTCCCGCCTCTTCAAACATGTTACTTTTATCACAGCACTTCATGTGATGTTTCATTTGGGCCACCATACCTTGCATTTTTTTCGGTGCATTTCCTGTATTTTGCACACATGCCTACTTTACCTCTAGGTAGAGAAACTTCATTTAAATATTTTAAATCGGGTCTCTTTTATGACCTGTTGCAATTTTTGCTCCCCAGGGGCGGAAATAAAGAATATTAAGCTATGTGCTCAAATATCCCAAGGCTTGTGAGTTGCTAAGGTTTATTTGTACTGCCTGCCCCTCCCTCCTCACACTAAGAGCCTGGTACAGGCGTAAAGGGACACTCCAGGCACAAAAACGCCATCAAAATTGGTATGGTGCTAGGATGCCCCTGGAGGCACTCTTACCTCAAAGAGTTAAACCATTCTTGAAGCGGTCAGTTGATGCTCTCAGCCAATCAGTGACTCCTCATTCACTAAACTTAGAGCTTAGAAACTTTGCCTTTTCTAAGGCGGTTTAGTGAATAGGGTGTCACTGAATGGCCGCTCAAAGCGATTAAGCGACTCTCCTGCCTGGTAAAACTCTGCAAATTATCATTAATCTGGTAGCAACAAAAACAAGGTAAAATCAGTGAGGACACTGATAAAGAACCAAGTTAGTAAATGATTTTAAAACAAATGATATATAGTATTTTATTGAAAAGAGGGCACAGATAATGGAGTAAATATGAAGTAAAACAAAGGAACCTTTACCACAGTGAGTGGCAGTAGCCTGTTTATTTTAACAATGTGGCAATAAATAACACTGGCTGTATATCAGACAGGAGTCACTGAGACATACTTATACTGCTTAACAGTTTACATGCTGAATGCACTGCTTAGTACACAATCCCTTCCTTTATCGAAGCAAATACCACAGTAATTGGTCTGTGTGCTATAACTTGCACATCAGAAAAGAAACAGAGACCTAATGCTCTCAGCAAAAACTGGAACTTTAGTCTGATATTAAGATAAAAGCTAGAAACATTCCAGAGAGCACCCCTCCCATCCCTCATCAATGCAGCCTTGGCGACCTCACAGAATCTCTGTAACTGTCTGCCTGGCAGTGAAGTACTTCTGCTTGTGATCTCCAGCCGGACCTCTCGTAATGTCACAGTATATGTTATCTGTAACGGCTTGTCCAGCAGTGAAGTACTCAGGCTAATAATATCAAGATGTGCACCCGTAATGCTGTGGTATTAACCCCACAAAGTGATCTGCCTTTAATATGTGTTGAGGTAGTTTGTGCTCGTCCATACCACTTCCATCCTTCTGCCAACCCTCTTCTTCACTTCTGTCATTTATATCCTTCTGTCTTGTCTCCCTTTCCATGTGTGTCTGTGTTACCACAGTTCCCCTTTCCACTGTCGGTTTTTAAAGAGACAGTATAGTCACCAGAACAACTACAGCTTATTGAATATGTTTTGGTGAGATAAATCATTACCTTCAGGCTTTTTGCTGTAAACACTGTCTTTTCAGAGAAAATGTAGTGTTTACATTACAGCCTAGTGATAACTTCACTGGCCACTCCTCAGATAGCTGTTAGAGATCCTTCCTGGGTCATGGATGCCTAAAATGCTTCCAAACATTCAGTATCTCCTCTCTCTGCATGCAGACACTGATGGTGGTGTTAACACTATAGGGTCAGGAATACATGTTTGTGTTCCTGACCCTATAGTGATCCTTTAAGGTCATCTGAGCAACAGTGGATGGTTTCAGCTATAAGGACAGGAGAATGGAAGTACAAATTGTGTTGACTGTTGAATTTGAGTCCTATTATTTATTTATTTTTCTCCTAGTTTATATATTTGAATGTTTTAGAAAGGCAATGATGTTTAGAAATTACTGTGAGGTCAGTTTGAAGCGTGCGTCCTATTTTAATTACACTTGGAATTTATTTAGTTGTTTGGCTGAGCTTGTTTTTGTGGGGGGGAAGGAGGGGGTGGATTTTAACCATCTAACACTGTTAGAGCGTTCTATGACTTTCTAACTGTAGGGTGGCATAGAACGCCCTGCATATTTGGTGTGAGACCAGGTAAAATCCCTGTTCACACTAGGGAGTTCTATTCAAGGTTGCAGCTGTTTTGCCTGGATCACTTTGGTGACTTGAAGCTTTGGAACTGTCCAGGGTTATACCAGGGACTCTCCTGTCAAATGTTGCCATTTTGAGGAGCTGCATATAATGCTTAGAGTTGATCTAAGTGTATGTATATATGTATATATGTATAATATATATATATATATATATATATATATATATATATATATATATATATATATATATATATATATATATATATATCTCAGAAAAAGCAGTCCAGGGAGCACACTGGGTCTTGAAGTTAGTGGAACAAAATAATTTAATGTATCATAAAAAATACATCAGCTGTGAGGTACACACAAATCTACGTTTCGAGCCTCCTGGGGTCTTTATCAAGATCACCGTGATCTTGATAAAGACCCCAGGAGGGTCGAAACGTCGATTTGTGTGTACCTCACAGCTGATGTATTTTTTATGATACATTAAATTATTTTGTTCCACTAACTTCAAGACCCAGTGTGCTCCCTGGACTGCTTTTTCTGATATAGATAACGCGGGATTGCACCTGGGCATTTACATAATTCTTGCATGAAGGAGGAGTGCCTTGCCCTGTTTCCCCTGAATAAAATGATATATAATAAGGGTGGGTGTATTTAATATGAAAGAGGTGTATTACGGTTGGACAGACATGTAGCACAAATGCCAGGTTTTGTTTACATTTTGTTTTGTTCACAACGTGTACATTTGCATCCGTCCTTAAGGGGTTAAAATGCCATACAGAGCTTGGAAAATAACACACTTTCTTAATTTTGCAAACTTTGTTTTAGATTGTATTCATGTTAAATTATGTTTAATTTATAAATATTTGATGTGAAATGAAAGCCCTGAACAAAATGATATATAAAAAGTGGGTGCACTTAATGTGAATGGTTGAACAGACATATGGCTCAAATTCTAGGTTTTGTTTTGAAGAGAACATGTACAACTGCATCCGTTTTTAAGTGGTTAATGAAAACAAACACAGAAAAACCTTCCTAGTGTTGATCCAATAGTCTGGCTTCTATAATGAGCTATAGTGTGTTTTTAACCAATGTTTTTATACTTTTCAGAGATAAATGAAGGTCCCTCCTCTTATACAGCTGGAATTAGGTGAGGCATGACTTGGGCACTGCAAGGGGTATAACATTGTATTCTGTAAAATGGTTGTGACAAAGTTCAATTTACTGATCATAACAATTTTCTATTTAATTGTTCCTCCCCACCCTTCCCTGTCTGTTTCCCTGTTGTGTATGTCTACTATTTCTACCTTTTTACTTATTTTTCATTACTTTTCTTGACCATTTTACTTCCCCTCTCTCCATGCCTCAGTGAGGAGGAGGAGGAGGAGGAAGAGGAGGAGGAGGAAGAAGAAGATATATTGATAAGCGAGGAAGATATTACATATAAAGATGACCCCAGAGATGAAACCTACAGACCCCAACTAGAAAGGTACAGATGGCTGTCACCTTTCCTGCTGTATAGACACTGCGTGTGTGTTTGTGTATACCCACCTTCCTCCTCCTCCTCCTCCTCCATTTTTTTTCTTTCATTTTACAGCATTTGCTTTTCCAATTTTTTAGCTGATTCTCTTTACCCCCGACTCTCTTTATATTTCTTACTTTCACCGTCTTGCTCTCTCTTCCCTCCCTCTCAAACGTTTTCCCTGTATACCCATTCCTCCCTCTCTTTCCATGCCTCAGTGAGGATGAGGAAGAAGAGTTGATAAGTGAGGAAGAGATTCCATATAAGGACGACCTCAGTGATAAAACCTACAGACCCACACTGGACAGGTATCCGTGAATATCACCTCCCAGCACTGCAGGACCATGGGTATTTCCCTGGTGTAGGCAGTGTGTCTCTGCCTCTCTCTCTCTTCCTCTGTCTTACTCCTTTCCCTCTCTCACTATTAATTCTTCCCTTTTCCCCTCATAAGCCATTTTCGTTGCAACAGTTTACTTTCTTACACTACCCTTTTTTTCCCTCCACTCTCCGTTTCATTCCAGAGATACTGCTCGATCAAGAAGACGCCTTGCTCGTTCGAGAGATGAGCCAGCACCTGTGGAAGTAAAGATGGAAGTTAAAGAAGAAGGTCAAGTTGTCCAAGAAGAAGAAGTGCCTAGGAAGTGAGTTATTCAGTGAGAAGTTCAACTAAAAAACAGTTAATCATCTAATTGTGTCATTTTTCATTTGTTATTCTGTATATTAGGAGAGGGCGTAGGCGCAAGGATGACAAAAGCCCAAGACTTCCAAAGAGGCGGTGGGTATTTTATTTTTTTTCCTCTTATTTAAATAAATAGTCTTTCACATCTCTCTGATCCATTCTCATAAGTAACTTTTTTTTTGTCATTTGGTCGCAGCAACTGTGGCTTCACATTAAAGCAAGCAGGCATTAACTATTGAGAATGTTGACAGTTGCACTGGGATGCAGCCTATCAAGGTGCCAGACCCCCTTCCCAACTTCTGTGGCAATGAGTCTCTGTTCCAACAATCCAACCTGCTAGCTGTTGCAGCTGACCTAAATGCACATACACGAGCCTACATGTGCAGGTTTTGTGTAACAATATTATGCACATATTAAACAGAAATTTACACTATATACCCTTTGTATATAGGCAGTCACATACCCATTAGCCCACCTATGTGCAGACACAAATGTACATGTAGCTTTACACACATTCAGGGAGGGTCTCTCGGTAGGACGGATATGTTTGACTAAACTTAAGGTAGCAGAACGTTACTACTTGAAATATTGCCTTCCGGTTGAATCCACAGATGTTTTAAAATCCTCAGTTTGAAAGTAGTAGCACTTAAATGTTTGCTGTTAAAGATCTGTGTAATTGTTTTTATTTATACTTATATTGGATCCGATAACTTTACCTCTGCATTATAATCTATGACCACTTTTTTTTTTGGGGGGGGGGGGGTGCATTTTCTTTGAATAGCCCTTTTAACTGTGTCTGTTGGACGAATGGCTGGGGATTTTCAGGAATACTCCAACTGACCCCCCCCCCTCTCTTCCCCCATCCTATTTAGGAAAACATTAAAAAAGACTAATAAATGTTAAAATTTACCTTTGTTTCAGCACTGTACCTCAGTTCTTCCTGAAGCCTGATCCTCCTTGGCTGATGTCACTGGAGTGTCAGGGAGGATAAAGGTGTCAAGGAGAAGGGGTGATGTGCTGCATCAGGAGACAATTTTGAACAATTTGACATTAGCCAGTTCGGAACCTCGATCCAGGTTAATGGCGCTGTTGGAGGTGGTTACACTTCTGGTTACTAAAGTGAAATGCTGCACTTAGAGTCCAGGAGCCATGGCCACTTCAAATCAATGAAGTATTCATGTTTCTTGGAGGAACTCTTTAAAGAGACACTATAGCGTTGGGAATACAAATCTGTGTTCCTTACGCTATACTGTACATTTTCCAGGTCCACCACCCATTTGTACTGAAAATTAAATATAACAATTTGACTCCCCCTTCTCTCCAGTGTAGAATCTCCCTTGGCCCTGCCAAACACTCCTCATGTGATGTTGTCCTAAAGACTTGCTGATCCAATCCTCTTCGTAGCTCCACCAGTGATCCCCTGGGATCCACCAGTGATCCTTTCATAGAGAATCATTGAATGCAATGATTCTTTAGAACTGATTGTGAAGGCGCTGCGCACGGGATTGTCACAGTATGTCTTTGTAAGAGAGCTGGGAAGTAGCCCAAAAAAGGCCAAATAAAAAAACCATCATACCCGTCGAACTTAAAATAAAATAAACCCGAGCGCGAAAAAAAAAACAGACGAAAAAACCCAGAGCGCAAAAAAAAAAACTTCACCCATGGAGGGCTCCGCGGACGGGGGAAGGCTTATAAAGCCTTGTCCCGCCCTGCAATTAGGCTAAGAACACTGAGTGGTGGGTTAAGCCAATCAGAGTGCTCTTTGTCATTTTACAGGGGCGGAGCTCAGTCTGCGCGGAGCCCTCCATGGGGAAAGATGGATTTTTTATTTATTTTTTTTGCGCTGGGGTTTTTTCTTTTTCGCGCTCGGGTTTTTTATTTTATTTTAAGTTTCGACGGGTATGATTTTTTTATTTGGCCTTTTTTGGGTTCCCCCCCCACTCCTTATCATTATGGCCCCCACCTGCCACCCGGGACCTACTGTCCTCCCTCCTCATTATCATTAGGGGTGGGGGCCGGGGGGGGGACAATAGGTCTCCCCCCTTATTTTACTTTTGGGCCCCCACCTGTTGTTTAGGGGTGGGGGCCAATAGGTTTTTATTTTTATTTTTTTACAGTGAGCAGCCACAGGTTTACTAGACATGATACTGCGAGTAAGGGCAGATCATTTACTAATACCAAGTAATCTTTACTTAGTATTAGTAAATGTGGCTAAAAGACCAATTTAGGTCTTTCAGCCTTTTAGTAGATAGCTCCCTAATCTACTAAGCGGCTGCAAGATGCAGCCACAGCACGAATAGGATCGGAGTTTCATTCGAATGAAATTGTGATCCGAACAAAGTGTCGAATTGCGTTCTAAAACAAACGAACATACTGTTCTCATTCAGTCAGAACGCAATTTGGCAGTTTCGTCTAAAATGACAGGAAGCATCGCGGGAACACAGAGGAAAGGTAAGAATTATGGAAAAATTGCTCTGACCAGCGGAAATGAAGCACATTCTAATGAGGATGTTTCAAATCCTCATTGTTCATAAAGGTATTTGTACACTATGTATTGTCTGCCCCAAATCTCTGCCTCCTTTTTGTTGCATCCAAAGCACCCTGTTTCAGTCTGGCAGCGATGAAAGGGCTAACTATTAAATTGCCTCTTATACCAAAGCTTACAAACAGCAAAAATGTTTCAACATAGAGTAAGGAAGTAAAATGTGAAATCTTCAACTGGGTGCTCTTAGGGTACCAGGGATTCCTCAGTTGTTTTGTTTTTGTTAGTCTAACAGCTTAAAATGTAACTGAAACCAGGAGTTGTTTTGCCTGCATTCACAGGATGAGGAACCTACCCACTTATCTACGCACTGTGACAGTAAAGTCATCCCTTTAATTCCTAACACTGCGATCACTAAATATTAATGCCATGCCCTGCAATACACGTAACTCTAACCATTATCTCATACACTAAAGAGGCACACCACAACAAGCTGACTTGCTTTTTATCTTCATGTTCCTTTTGTCCCAATTCGTAAAAGAAATCCTGATTAAATCCGCTTTAATGATTGTTGAAGCGGAAGTGAAAGCTTCCATAGGGAAGCATTAGTCTAAACAAAATTATTCTATTGGGTGTTCATTGCATCTGATTGGCACATTCGTGGAGAGACTGTCATCACTGGGCAACTAAACAAAGGTGAGAGGTGACTTGCCCTTGGATAGAAAGGCAAGTAATATTTCTATTTAGTTGGTGGGGGTGGGGGTGGATTTCTGGATAGACAGCTGCCACATTAAAAAAATAAAATTAAAAAAATATAGCCCTCACAGACTTTAAGGGATGTTTTCAAACTCACTATGCCCTCCCCCCCCCCTGCCATATTTGAAACAAGGACTGGGCAGCCATTGCTGCCTAGTCACTAGTAAGGCATCATCCCATTGTGATGAGGCCTGAAAAGTAACTGGGGGGACATAATTCTCCATGTGTAGATATTGTGGGGGTCCTCCTACCTGTCCTATTATATTTAAAAAAATAAAAAAACCTGGGAGTACATCCTATTGTCCACCTGTACACCGTGGGTGGTAGCCACTAATTTTTATACCGGGGCATCTAATGCCTATGTCCATGGGCTACTATAATATTCTGGACGAGGACCTAATGTTTCCACCCATGGGTGACAGGTGAGGGCTCTAAATAATTTATATGTGGGGAGGTGGACATGTCCCCAGTCCTCTAGCCACCTCTCCTTAAATTAAATAAACCCTGCCTACCCCCTTACCCTAATAATAGTGGGGGCATTGATCCTGAGACCTGTGAAATAAGAATTATACTTTCCATCAGTAGTAGTCTTTCTTTTTAGCCCTAAAAGGCAAAAATAAAATCCTTAAGTGACATAACTGTACAATAGTTTAAAAAAAAAAAAAAATCTCATACCTCCTGTTGCCTGGCAGATGGGGACATAGTGAGGTTTTTTGAAAACTCCCTTATAGTAATATGGGGGTGACCTTATGACCCATGTAGTTTTTTTTATTTTTATTTTTTAAGTGGCGACTGGCTCAGGTGTATATTTGTATGGTGCCATCATACTCCCTCTGAAACACTTTTTCTTTAGAAAAAAACAAAAGCAGTTGTTCTAGCCTTTCTTCATAACTTGTGTTTTTCATCCCCTTATCAATTTTGTTGTTAGCCTCTGCACTTTTTCCTGGTTCTGTAATATCTTTCTTTAAAACTGGTCCCAAAATTGCACTGCATATACAAAGTGGGGTCTTGCAATGTGTTATGAAGTCCCTCTGTAAATAATATATTTTGATTCTGAGTTTCACTGTCTTAGAATCCAGGCTCGAATCGCGGTCAGACCACCTGAAAAGTAAGTGTCCTTGGCCAAGACACCTAACAATATATGTCCACCTACTTCAAACTCCTCATAGATTGTAAGCTTGTTTGAGCAGGGCTTTCTTCACCTCTAAATATCCCCTTTCTATAATTGTAAAATGCGGTGGAATATGTTGGCGCTATATAAATGCTAATAATAAATAATAGTAATTTCTGTTAAAATGTTTTTTTAGTTTCTGAAATTATGCTGGAATAACTTTTACCAGCAATGCTTCCAATCACGCTATGTAAGATGTAATTGTCCCCTATAGGCTGTTTGAAATTTTGGAAGGAAGAACCTAATTCTGCAGGCTTTCATGCTGCAAAAGATTTGCACTTGATATCACCTCCTCCAACGTGGATGCCTAGTTATGTGCATATGCACTCTTTGTACATATCCTTGCATATTTGGGGGCTGCAATATCAACCTGTAAAACAATTATCAATTTGCCCAGGATCCATTAGCAAATGGAAATTCAGCTAATTTTTACAAATGTATTTATTTATTTTTATTCTCCTATGCACAGAGGCAGAGTGGCTTTCTTTTATCCATTGAATGATAATAAAAAATGTGTCAATTGTAGTTTAAAGTGCTGCAGTGTGTGTAGAAACTTGGTTAACTAGTAAGCCTGCACCCGACAGTCACTGTATAGTTAGAATTTCAAAGGATGAAATGAATTTCCTTCATGAGTGACTGAATAGGAGTGATTGATAGTAAGTTTCTCCACTTCAGGGAACAAAAAAACATTTATCAGTGAAGTTAATAATGTATTGGTCAAGTAACCTCATTGTGATTTAACCTATAAATCCTATATTGCATGATTGAAATTTTATGTATACATTGCGCTAGCCAAATTGCTTGTAAATGGTAAAATTTTAATTTATAGTGTCTAACTTCCTTAACATTTGCTATTATGTTGTATATCAGCTGGTTAGAGTAGTGTTAAGGAATCCCGGTCTATCTGTAGTAGAATGTCCTCATTTCTTGAAACCAGGTGCAACATTATTTCCTACAAGTGCCAGAATGATCTCATCTAGTGAGATTATTAAGGCCACCTAATCTCTTACCGCTGGTCAATAAAGTGCTGGTGTTTTCATAACTTCCAAAGATGCAAACCAACCCACATCTTCATCGTTCACAAGGACAAGGTTTGAGGCTAGTGGATCGCACCAAATCGCAGTGTTTGTGCTTCTGAGAGATTGTCAAAGTAAAGGAGCGTAAAGTGCCATCTCATTAGTGCTGGTCTGAACAAAAAAAAAAGCAAAGACACCACAAGTCTGTATTACTGAGAGAAGACATAGAAAGAGAAGGTACTAAGGCACATAGCAAGTCCACTAATGCTGAATCTGATTCTCTGCCACCAACTACAAGTGTCTGTTAATTTCTATTACTGCAACCCTTAAGCATTGCAAGGGAGGATTTCGAGCCTAGTGTCAGTAACTGACAGGAATAGGCAGACTCCTAGTCACCAGCCCACTCTTGAAAATTTGTGCTAAATTTTTATTCCAGGGGAATGTCAAAACAGAACGCTAACAAAAACACTTGTGAGTTCACTGCTGATCGCTGTTTGGTTAGGGGGCTTTCTTTTTCCATTAAAGAAGAGGAGCGTTTTAAGCTGCTGATAACAGGCATTTTCAGCAGGAAGGTAGTCCCATCACTATACCGTTCCTGCGTGTTACTAGTGAAAATGCAGCTGGCTATGTCTGTAGGTTAGTGGGTGCATTTCACCATAGATTTATGGATTGCTCCTAGAGGGCAGCATTCCTTCCGCCACTGCTCACTGGTGGCAGCCCCCAGTGCTTGGGCAAGATTGTGGCAGTGGATCTGTAGGACACACCACCCTTTGTGGCTGGGAGTGGATCTGTAGGGCAGCAGGGCTTTCAATCTCTTCTGCTACATGCTGTAGTGATGGATGAAAAGCACACATCAACAAACATTGCAGGCAATCAGACGAATGTTGTTGAATTGGTTGGAAGAGCAGACAGGCACCACTCTGTACATTGAGTTTGTGGTCACTAGCGGAGATGCTAACATGGTCAAAGCTCTTTGAAATGGTTCTTCTGTAGGTGTATACTGTAATGCTCACAACCTACATCTTGTAGTGAAGGGTGAAATTCGGGAATTGAACACAAAGGTTCAAACCTTACATGAGTGTTGCAGGAGGATTTGTCGGGCAGTGTGAGGGCTAACCAACGCTTGAGGCAGGAGCAAGAGAAAAAAGGGATTTACACACACTATCTACAACAGGAATTCTGCTTTAGACATGCTGGAAAGCATTTTGGATCAGCAGAGGACAATCAATAGTCCATTGTTATGAGGCGACGTGAGGATTGGACAATAATAGGGCAGCTAGTTGCAGATCTTATTCTATTTAAGGACATGACAGACCGTTTGAGCCACAGTAATGCCAGTCTAGGACAGGCGTTCCATGGTTCACCCACCTCACAAACCTGATGGATACCTTCATGAAAAACAAGGAATTAGGAGGCATACTCCTCACCGGTGTAACAGCAGTGGTCACGACGCTGAAAGATCTACTCAATGCTCATCTGAGTGAGCGAGTTGCTAATTGCCCCAAACCAATGCTAGCTTGCTGCACTGTGTGGTTTCTCAGCAGCTATTATGATGTCCTCTGTTCAAAGTAAGTCAGTGTTTTCTGCTACAGTGAACAGAATCCCCAGTGCTCACAAATGTCCCTGGAGAAGATAGCTTTCCTTAAGTCCCAAATTTGGGATACCATGCTCTTAGGTTGGATACTTTAGGTGTCGTCATCTATCTGCGATTAAACTGACTACTAACCTCTCCATTCAAAGTTGTTTCTAGTTTTGTATACGCTTTCCAAAATCTGGCAGTGAATTGAAAACAAAACTATTGTAATTTTGCTGCTGCTATTTCATCCCCCCCTTTTTACTCAAATGTCTTTCATTGTAGTAGTTTTGCCCTGCCTAATTGAGTCTTGTGGTGAGGCTCTGCAGTGGAGAGAAGCTGATAGGGCACTGCACAGGCAGTGCAAAAAAAGTTTTGTTCTAGTCAGGGTGAGGGGTGAATGGGTGGTCAACTGCCACTTTTCTGACTCTTTTTTTTAATTACAATTTGCTATTCCAAAAGTAAGTTTTCTAAGATATATCATCTAATTTTGGCAACTCGGAATTGGCATTGCAAAAATGCCTGATATTGCCTAGCCTTTAGGCCATGCTATATTGTAGCGTTTTTTTCATGTCCGCACAGTCTTGGCAGCATTTTTCCTGCTGCTCTCGCTTTCTATATGGCCTTCCCAAATTTTTTAATTACCAAAACTTCTCCAAGCTGCATAAGCTAAATTCTGCCGGCTTGGGGAAAAATAGATTTGTCGAAGTGTTTCAGAAGAACCTACATTTTTCGGGCACAGGTCTCTTCATAGCAGAAATATTTGAGTAGGCTTGCATTGGCGAGTACCTTTTTAAGCATGTCTAGTGCACCTGAAAGCTACAATCAGAACACTATACACTAGAATCCACAGTAGTGGTTATATCCCAGGAGCCTCCTAGCATTGTTCTTCCAGTAATAAGTCAAACCACTTGTGAAAAGCTTGACAATTACCAGAGTTGATCCCGGTACGAGATTACTAGTATGTATAATTAAAGTGGATGGTCTCCTTCTCTTATGCAGCTTTAAAAATTACCTAGATATGTACTGTTAACACCTTTTCAGGGGCTGGCACCAGGCTATAGAATAATGTTCACATTCTGGTGGCATTTAGTATTAAAAAAATAAAGATTACCAGAAACTATAAACCAAGTAAGGCTTCAACGATAAATGTATCCTTCCTAAACCTCTTGATCACATTGATATTACAGTATCACATATACTGTGTATTACACATTAATATTAGATTTGTTGCTATTTTTCTAAAACTTTTTCCACTCACTTATAATTTTCCTCCAGGTGATTCCTGAATAAAATTAACTTGGTAGTACTTGTTTGAGTGGAGATTTTTTATGTAAAGTAAAAGGGTTAGACTCTAAAACAGATTAACAATGATACTGGGAAATTTGGTTGTGTTGAATTCTATGAAGTTCGTAAGATAATACTGAAATTGTAGATTACATTTTATTGGAATTGTCTGAAAACACTGGCTAAAAATGGCAAACCGTTTATATTGCAGTTTGATTATTTTGGTCTAAAATGTGTTGCTCATTTTGAATTCCAGACCATTCTTACTTTAGTGAATAATGCAGTATTTTATTTCTTCACCTTTTCATATAATGAATTCTTTTTTTTTTCTCTTCTCCATATTCCTCTTTCCTACTTTTAATGACACGTTTCTCTTCTTTTACAAATTCTCAGGAAGAAGCCCCCCATACAATATGTGCGATGTGAGATGGAGGGATGTGGCACAGTCCTGGCCCACCCAAGATACCTACAGGTATTTTTTCCTAAAAATACTTACAGCTATTGGATGTGTCCCCAGTGCTACATAGTAATTAAGAAAATGTAACCATTTTTTTTTTTTTTTTTTCTTAGCATCATATTAAGTATCAACATCTTTTAAAGAAGAAGTACGTGTGTCCACATCCCTCTTGTGGAAGGCTGTTTCGCTTGCAGAAGCAACTGCTCCGTCATGCAAAGCACCACACAGGTACTTAGGTGTTTTCAAATTGTATCATAGAATGATAAATATGGTAACTGTTCATTGATCTCCAAAGTGTAGCAACTTGGAATCCAAATAGGTGATCTGGAAAACCGTTCCAACTCTGCTATAGTCAAATTTTCAACATTGTAGCCTCAGTATTGCCATACAAGTGTTGGTTTGCACAATTTGGAGTTGAATAATCCCATGTTTTGTTTTGTCACATGGTTGTTTTTCTTTTCTTTATGGCATTCAATTTTTTATTATTGTTGTCCTCCTTTGTGTTTGTCTGGTAATGAAATTACCGTTAAATTATATAATATTCAAGCATTGACCAGGCTATGGTGCCAAAAAGAGGGATTTATTCAAATTGTTGTGTTATCTGTAGTCTTTAGACTAGCATTTGTAAATCTTCACATGCAAAATTTCTTTGTATTAGTTTTACTGCGTTTCCGTTTCTGTGACACGTATTACAATTTCACTTGATTTTAATTTTCAGACCAGCGGGATTATATTTGTGAATACTGCGCTAGAGCATTTAAAAGCTCCCACAACTTAGCAGTCCATCGCATGATCCATACTGGAGAGAAACCCTTACAGTGAGTCTCAGATTTTGTTTACTTTTTTGTATACCATACTCCCTTATCACCCCTGCCAAAATACATTTGCACTTCTTATGCTGACTTACTGTACTCATCATTGCCTTCTCTCTGTTCATCCTACAGATGTGAGTTCTGTGGTTTCACCTGCAGACAGAAAGCTTCCCTGAATTGGCACATGAAGAAACATGACGCTGACTCTTTCTACCAATTCTCCTGCAGTATCTGTGGGAAGAAATTTGAGAAGAAGGACAGTGTTGTGGCCCACAAGGCAAAGAGCCACCCTGAGGTTCTTATTGCAGAGGCCCTAGCTGCCAATGCTGGAGCCCTCATTACCTCCCCTGAACTGCTGGTGCCCGAAACCACGGAGCCGGTGGTTCAAGAGGAGCCTGAGCCTCCACAGCCATTCTATCCCAGCACTGGTCCCAAGATTTTAGTGGCGGTAGAAGGAATGGGTGCTACCACAGAGGTTCTTATTGAGGATTCGGACTCTGCAGGACCTTAAAGAGGGTTTATGAATCCCCTCTGCACAGCACCAGAACTGTTTCCTTTTCTCTTTCCCAGCTGGCTGGCTGTCTCATCTTCCCTGGTCCCTTCTTCCCGACCTACCCCACACTGCAGGAATTTCCGCTTTCTTTGTCCTTTATGTATGATCTGCACAAACTTATTTGGACTCTGTTTTCTGCCTTGGGTTTCCTTGCATTCTTTCATTGTCCCTGTTCTTTCTTTAAAATTTAATTTCTTCTATTCACTCTACTCTGTTTTTGCTTACATCTTTGTTTTGTCTTTTTCAGTTTTCCTTTGTTTTATTTGTCCTGGGCTTCTCCTGTTCTGTCCCTCTCTTGCTCCTTCTTTCTCGGGTGCTGTGTTCTGCACTCTCCACTGTATATAATATGTTTAAAGAATAAAATGAGCTGTTTTGTCTCACATGGAAGCCCCTCCCCAATGCAAGGCTGCTAGCATTCCTTAGAGCTCTGCTTGCTGCCTCTATGTACTATGTGATTTTATTTAATTTTTTTTTTCTGCTCACTTTTTAATTTGTGTTTTAGTTCTTTTCAAAGTAAAAATATGCACCTTGGAGTGATATTCAGAGAGGGCATGCAAATGGCCTTTTTGTATATGGAGTATTTTATATTCTTCGTCATCTGGTTTATGACACCAGTACCTAGAATAATTATTCTAAATGTAAACACTTCATGAAAACTGGTCCCATGATTATTCTGCCTCATAGTCATAATTACATACACATCAATGTCCTACAGAAAATGCTGTTTATATTTTGTGTTTAGGAACCATATATCCCCTTCGTTGTACTAGTATATTTCTAGATCTTGCCTCTTCGTAACCATGCTGTCCCTGGACTGTGTCTTGCATGGTTAATATTACATCACTGGTTACTTGGCTTTTATTTAAAAAAGGAAAAAAGTTGTCCCCCTCCCAAACTTTACACTGCAATGACCAGTTTTTATTTAATCATTTACAGATCTTCTAGAAAGCTGCAATATTTTCTGCTCTGGCATAAAAATCAAAAGCTAACTTAATCACTTCACACATCAGTAACTAACTTCATGTTCTCCTTTTTAAATCTGAGCAATAATTAGATTTAAAGCACTTGTTTAAAATATTATTGACAGAAATGAGGTTTGTGTCCCTAATGTCCTTATAAAAAAGTTTAAGATTTGTCTTGATATCTGACTAGAGGACCTTTATTGATTTTGATATATTAGAAAAATATAAGGAAGGGTTCCCGCCAATGTATTGTTTTTTTTTTTAATTTGAAGCTTTTATCCTGGTCAACCCATTTTGTGTACATTACAAATCACGTCTTCTGAATGATTAATGCAGTAGGGTGGGTATATACATATATGTATGTATTAGAAGGAGGTAACTGAAAAGCAATCTTTGTGAATTCTGTTTTGGGACAATTTGAAATGTATACAGAAATTAGTTGGTGGAACCCAGATTGTTTTATTTTTGTATCTAAATCCCCATTGGTTTAAAAAGGGACATCAAATGTATCAGACCCTAAACAAATGCTCATATTAGGCTGTTTACTGAAGCAGTATTGTTTTCCTCCAGTGTAGTAGAAATCCCTCTAAAACTAGGAGTACAATTAAGTTTTTCAAACTGTATTTTAGAATTAATTACATTTCAAGTATGAGTCCCCAAAATAGTTTCCCAAGAGAAGAATGGGTTGCCATTAGTGATGTCGCATTCCAGCCAATCAGCAGCAGACCCTCCCACCTCCTGGACAGCATTCATTTTACATTCATTGTGAAGCTGCATTCTTAGTGAGCTGTCCAGGAGGAGGGAGGATCTGCTGCTGATCGGCTGGAATGTGTCTGCTGACTATGAGGTACAGGGTCAAAGTTTACTCAATGATGAGTCCCCGGCGAACCGTTCGGGACATCACTAGTTGCCATGTATGCAATTTGTCCCTGATTCAAAAAGTTTAAGAACCACTGATATGAATCCACATAGCCTGCTTGTTATATTTCAATGGTGTGAACATTACACCGCAAGAGGTCTGTTTTCTGTCTCTGTTGCATTATTCACCCAACCAGGAATTGCTGAGAATTGTAAATTTTAGGACAAAATAGCCAAGCTTCTCTCTCCCCCCCATCCCCCTTCTCCTCCATTTCCATTATATTGACCCAAAAATCTGTAAATCTTAATTTAGTGAACAGTCGTAAGGTGAATTCACTAAACTATGTAGGGAGATTAGCTTTCAATTCACTGATCGTAAATACATAAAATCTTTGTGTTGGTGGGGTCTGAGAAGAAAGAGTGTTTCCATGTGTTGATTGAGTGGAAAGTGGGTTCAAGGGAATCTATTGGTCACACACACATGGACATTATAGAAGCAGCTACCATGTATAATGTTCTGAGATCACTCTTTGAGTTAATCACTGAAGTGAAATTGATTTCAAAGTAAATTTTAAAATGTATGGCCAAAACTTAAAACTGGGAAAAATAATCTACAAATCAGTTCTGACTATTTTGGCCTTAACTTTGAAGTTTACTTTTAATTCTCAGTAATTATCATTTTTGTAAACAGATTGGCTATTTAATACACTTGCCATTTGGTTTTGAATTAAGTGCCTAAGCCGTATACTTATTCTAACTCACCAAACCACCTGTAACATCTGGTCTTTCCAGCACATTATACACTTGCATAATTATCAAAAGAAGCAGAACTGCCCACTCGTATAGATTACTGTGACAAATACTTTTACTTATTTATTTTTTTGTAAATCCAAAGACCTGTTTTAAATGAGAAAGCTGTATTCGGGTCTGGTTAAAAATAAAAACAAACTGGTTTTCACAGTTATCAGGTTAACGAGAAGGCTGGTCACTGAGATTTATGAGATTTTGCAGTTCACTTCTGCAGGAATGTCAGATTCCTGTGCTTACAGTTACTGTGTGTGGTTTTCCTCTTTAAAATATAATGGCAATGGTGATAAAATGAATGCCAAATCATCCTTCATTTTTAAAACTTTAAAACTTACCTTTTTTGTGTTCACAGGAACGTAAAGAAAATGAGGCTCAACCTCTTGGTGTCAGCTAGTTAAAGGGGCACTCTGGGCATCAATAATTTAATACATTTATATATTTGGGCATTATTAATATGCTGGTTTGTTTTTTTTGTTTTGCATGGTCAAACTTATCATTTGTGCACAATATAAATGTTGGTTGCAGACAGAGAAACTGCAAACGGTTAATGACATCCTTACAATATCAGCGCTTAGCAGATATTACCTTATTAAGCAAAATAGGGGAAAACAAAGTGTTTCAATCAAACCAAAATGTTAGAGTCCCAATATCTATATATAAAAAAGGATATTTCCAAATGTTAGGGAATTGTAGTGGTTTCACAACATTGGAGTGGATCCCAACCAGATCCTGTGCCCTCGGAGGAACGACGACTTGAAAGTGCCGCTGTATTCACTCCCAAAATTCAAATGGAGATTGCGGCCAGGATCGATCTATGCACTTCGCAGTTAGATCGGGCCTTCTCGAGATAGAATGTCTGGCGGTTTAAAGTTGAATATATACACCCCCTCTGTGTGTCTAGGGTGTGCTTAAAGAAGCAAATGTCAATTTTTCCCTTGCATACATACATACAATACATCACATAACATAAAAAATAAGTTTTTTACACGTATTATCTACAATATTCTTATCACGTAATAAAATACAATAACGTAATAACATTAGCAAATATATAAAAAAAATGTGTTTGTGTGAAGAGATCAATGCAAAATAGAAGTTCCATTAAAATCGTTCATCTATTTAAAGACGGACTAATTCAAATCTGATTAAAAAAAAATAGATATAAGAAAGCTTAAACTAGAGTTAAAATTAAAAGCTTTTTTTCATTCCAGAAGGCTATGCACCAATTTATCTTTTTAAATGTGGGTGCCCCTCTAAAAATAATCCTTGGTTTGGATGGTAGTCTAGAAGATAGTGCTCGATCTTGTTTTAATAAATCCCTTTTTTAATTTTTTTTATAAAATTGGATTGAGCACTATAATTAAAAATTAAGGGACATGTAGAATTTGAAAAAAATTATTTTCATTTATTAGCAACTCTTTTTTGGGTGCAAGGATGTTAGTTCTCTCCATATCTTGTACTTTTTCCATTGTCTTGGAAAGCAAAAAAGGATCATATTCTTTCTCTACAAATTAGCACTTTATTTAATTGTTCATTACATACATCTTCATCTGAACATTTTTTCTTAATCCTTAAAATTTAACCATAGGGGGCACTTTGTAGCCATGAAGGATAATGGCAACTTGATGTCCAGATAAAACTGACGTCTACACTTTTAAAAAAGGTTTTGGACTTTAAATTTCAATTTTCAACGTGTAAAACTAAATCTAAAAATTCAACACTTTCATTACTATACTTATAAGTAAAAGACAAATTAAAATTGTGGTTAATATATGCTAGAAATTCTAAAAGATCTGATTCTGTACATTCCCAAATAAAAAAGCAATCATCTATGTAACCCGCTATAGAGGACTAGGTTTGCTACCCAGCGATGTCCCTGCCATATAAAAAAATCGTTCCCAAAAGTATATACCGTATATACTCGAGTATAAGTTGACCCGAGTAGGGTGGGAAATGCAGTAGCAACTGGTAAATTTCTAAATAAAATTATATCCCCCAAAAATTATATTAATTTAATATTTATTTACAGTGTGTGTATATAATGAATGCAGTGTGTTTATGTATGTGATGCAGAGCCTTGGTGGGGGGTGGGCATTTTTTTGAATTAATGTTTTTATTATTTTAATATTTTTTTATATTAATATTTTTATTTTATTAAAATTTTTATTTATAATTTTTTTCGTCCACCCTCCCTGCTTGATACATGGTCAGGGAGGGAGACTCTCATTCCCTGGTGGTCCAGTGGCATTGGCTGTGTAGGAGGGGGGCTGGCAGAGAGCTGTAACTTACCTTTCCTGTCAGCTCCCTACTGCTCCGGTCCGGTCAGCTCCACTGCAAGTCTCGCGGTGTGAGTACCGCGCGGAGCGTTGCCACGGTAACCCGTGAGACTTGCAGGGGAGCTGACCGGACCAGAGGAGAGAGAAGGGAGCTGCAGGAAAGGTAAGTTACAGCTCTCTGCCAGCCCCCAACAGGACCGCCGGGCTTGTCTGTATTATGGCAATGTAAGTTGCCATAATACAGACAGTCACTCGAGTATAAAACGAGTGCCGAAAAACTTGTCTTATACTCAAGTATATATGGTAAATATATTGGCATAGCTGGGTGCAAACCTAGTCCCCATAGCAGTGCCAGTCGTTTGTAAAAAAAAAAAAAAAGTATGAAATCAATTCACTCCATTAAAAATTAAATTTGTCCATTTGCATATCCATGTTATTATAAAGGGTATATCTGGCTGCTTTTATCCCTAAATCACGTTTAATTATTGTATAGAGTGAGGTTACATCACATGTGACAAGCCAGAAATTATCTTTCCATGTGATTCTTTGTGCAATCACTCGCTGGGTAGCAAACCTAATCATCTATAGGCGTTAAATAGATGATTGCTTTTTGGGGGGGGGAAGGTAGAGAATCAGATGTTTTATAATTTCTAGCATATATTAACCACAATTAATTTAATTTGTTTTTTACTTATAAGTATAGTAATGAACGTTATGATCAACCCTTCTAAAAAACGGGCTGATCACCTTCAAGCCACCCTAAAAATGGCGTCTCAAAAAAAAATTATAATAAACAACTTTAATAGGAAAAAATGGAAAAAACAAGCAAAAAATATAAAGTAAAATAAAACAAATGGATATAGAGGGGGGCCTAATGTCTGCAAAAATGTAACTAGACTCACATATATCAGTATTTATACAATGTAGCAAATTCACTCATAACAGAGTGATAAATAGTAAAGTGACTAGTATCATGCACTAGACCCCACAGGGTAGAGAAATCGAAAGGATAGAGGAGGTAAATAGGTGAGAGTGAAAAATAAAGTGGGAATAACCTAACAAGGATATAATACAGCAGATTGTAAAGGTTATATCTGACCACAAAGTAACTCGCTAAACTCTATCACTATAGAAACTAATGTTCAGAGCAGAAAAAAGCTCAGACATCGGTATAACACCCTGGTATCCATAGAAAAAACCTCAAATAGGTCTAAGTAAAAACATAAAGCAGCCCAACGCGCGTTTCGGCGGACTAACCGCCTTTTTCAAGGGCAATCGAAAAGTAATGAAGTAAACCGCAGGTACATTCCCCTCCCCGGGACTATTTAAATATCTTCCCGTACATCCTACTTGTTGTCATTGGTTGGAATCGATCACCATGTTAATTTGGAAGAGTAACTGCGCATGTCAGAGAGGAGACCGCGCATGTGCGTCGAGTGTCTTATTTCCTGGGTTGCGCATATCCGAGAAATGACGGAGGTTAATGCGCATGTCCGCTCACCGGCGGACACGCATGCGCAAGAACTTATTGTATACCCGGAAAGACCCCCAGGTCGTGCGCATGTCCGCAGCCAAATGGCCGCGCATGCGCGAGGTATCTAAACACAAAGTGAATCATATCTGTACAAGTAGCTCAATGTAACCAGGAGAGAATGTATCTATAATAGATAACAACTCAAACGATAAAACTATATGGGGGAGTGAAAAAATTATATGGGATGGGATAGAACAACAAAAAACAAATAAACAATAATATATATATATAAATCCACAATAGTGGTTGGACTTATCCAACCAAATCCATATTTGTTTTATAGTTAGAGAGACTAGATAAAGAGGTATAAATCATTCCAAAACGGCTGGAAATGTAAAGATAACTAGAAATCAAAAAGTGTATATAAGATTAATAGTGAGATGTATAGCCATATATACATATATATACAAAATTATAGACACCAATAAACTTAATTAACTCTATCCTTATATACAATTTAAATTTATTATATATAAATATTTAGTTTCTTTGTGGCAGAGGATTGAAGTCCTTTTTCAAATTTGATGTGGTTGAATTTGTATTATGAGAATTGTTACTTTGATGTTTAAATGATTTTAAGACTGCTCCTTTTAGTCTTCTTAGCAATTCAAAGGGTCGGTCGTTTGGAACGCATGTGCCCGATCTTGGAACGCAACGCCAGTGGTTGTGACGTGCGTGGTTATTTCGCCGCCGGAAATCCATGTGTGGAACGCAACCGGAAGTTGTGATTTGGAACGCAGAACATTACCGGACGGATTACCAGCTGGTCTTAGCCGTGAATTTTAAGGTGGCGATCACCTGGAAAATATTGATTTTATTGAAGAGGGACTGCCTACAAAGGAACTCTCCAATCAACAAATGGACTGGTTATATTTAAGGGACTCTGTTGGGGGTGGGATTATGCATGCTTTGTATTTGACATATTGTGTATACTGCAAAAAATTCTCTCTGATGAAGTCCAATTTGTATGGACGAAACGCGTTAGATGCAGTATTATTTGTATACTTTTAACTATTGATTTTTTGATATAGGCTTATTAGTGCCTTTTAATAATAATAAAAAAAAAAAAAAAAAATTTTTATACTTCACTGGCATACTCCCACTTCTTTGAAGACAGAGCAACCTATTCGTGGAGGGTGAATACCACTGCAGCCCTTGAGGGCTTAAAGGCGCATTATCCATCACTATTTTGTGAGTGCAATCATTGAAGTTTATATTTTATTATTGTGACGGTACTTCACTATGTACTATGTATTCTTATATTTTTTAGCCATTCAGCTGTATCCCTATTTTGTCTATTTACATATCTGCATTTGAGGTTCATTTGGGGGTAACCTCTTGGGAAGCTGCATTCATCTCATACCAAGTTAAGTACTCGTGTATATTCCTACCACTCTGTTGGTTAGGTACATTTGTATTTCTTGCGTTTGTATTTTTTTCTTTTCCTTCAACATATTTGTACCCCCGATATTGTGTGCTACATATCGTTGATCTACTACTGGCAGATGTCTGAATAAAAGCTAAGTTTTTTCACAATATATTTCTTTGAAGTCCTTGGAGTGCTATCATTACTACATTTCTCTCTCTCTCTCTCTCTCTCTATATATATATATATATATATATATATATACAATTAAAGGGACACTATAGTCACCAAAACAACTCTACTTAATGAAGCAGTTATTGTGTATAGATCATTTCACTGCAGTCTCGTTGCTCAATTCTCTGCCATTTAGGAGTTAGATCACTTTGTTTCTGCAGCCTTAGGCACACCTCCCTGCGTGTGACCTACACAGCCTTCCTAAACACTTCCTGTAAAGAGTCATCTAATGTTTAGTCTTCCTTTATTGCTAATTCTGTTTAATTTAGGATTTTCTTATCTCATACTTGATTAATAGTTTGCAAGAACCTGCACGAGCATCCCGTATGTAATTAAAGTTCAATTTACAAAGCAAGAGATAAAAACTTTTAAGATAAGTTTCATCTGAGTGAAAATAAACCATTTGTTTTCATGCTTTCTGTGTCAGCCACAGCCAGAGGAGGTGTGGCTAGGGCTGCATAAATGAAACAAATGTGATTTAACTCCTAAATGGCAGAGAACTGAGCAGTGAAACTGTAGTGACATGATCTATACACAAAAACTATTGCATCAAGCTAAAGTTGTTTTGGTGACTGTAGTGTCCCTTTAACACATGCAGTTTTACCACAGACTTTGCAATAAATTAACCCCAAAAAAACATAGGGATGGAAAACCCATAGTATAATAAATTTTAAATATTAAGGTTGCACTTTAAATACAGGAATATATTGAAGCACAGTGAACTGACTTTTGAATTGACTGGATTCACCCTTTGAAAGGAATAAACTGAATGATTTAAACAATACAGCAACTCCCAGTATAACAGATAAACTTAGCTTGTTTGTGGAAGCTGGTGATTAGTTAGAACAGTGGTAGGCAACCTTTTTCTTTCTACCGCCGACTAATGCATCTTTATTAAAGGAAAAATGTCCTTACCACCCACCAGTTTTCGCGCAAGTGCAGAATATTTTTTAGAAAGGAGGGTGTTTTAAAAAAAATAAATGTACGTACATTTTCCCCCCCTTTTTCTATTTTTTAACCTTACTTATAGCAATGCCCAGTAGGAAGGCTGAGCTAGGTAGCCCACTTACTATAGCCCACTATAACAGACAGGCACACATACATTCAGACACATACACACAAGACACACATACAAAGACAGATACATACAAACAGACAGGCACACACATACATAAAGACACACAGACAGGCACACATACACACACACGACACATACAAACATACAGGTACACATACAGACACACACACACAGACACACAAGACATACATACAAAGACACATACATAAGACACACATACATACAAAGACACATACACACACAACACATACATACAAAGACATGACACACATACACACACGACATACATACAAAGACACATACACACACATACAGACACACACAAGACATACATACAAAGACACACACACACACACAAGACATAAATACAAAGACAAACACACACATTATATTTAAGTCACCCTCCTGTTTCCTACCTTTAAGGTGCAGGAGGGTGACATTCCCTGGGATCCAGTGGTGGCTCAGGTGGATGGGAGTCAGCGTTCCCACTCTGACTCCCTCTGCTTCCTCCCGCGCAGTCTGTGTGTTAGCTGGGAGGAGAGACATGCAGTCACTTCCAGCTCTGTGATGTAATCTATCGGGTGGCCCTAACAGCATGGGCCACCCGACGGATCCCTTGGACGGTGGCCCCGGCGGTTTGCCGCCCAGGCCGAGGCCACAAATGGTGATGGCGGTACCCGGTCGCAGGGGTACCGCCAGCTCGCACCCGTCCCCCACCCAATCTCTCCAAATGAGGAATTCCCTACTGCCCACCTGGAATCCTAAAACGCCCACTAGTGGGCGATAGGGAGCAGGTTGACGACCGATAAGTTAGAAAGTCCTTTCTGTTTTTAAGAAGATTGTAGTTCAGCAATGTCAGTTTGGAGTAAAGAGGTGAGAGTAATCAAAGTTTGTTCCGAGTTCAGGGAATAAAGAGTGCAGCAATATCGGTTTTGATGGGACAGAGGTTCGGTACACAGCTTGGTAACAAAGGGAGCTCAGACGGCACTTGGTAACAAAATGAAACAAATTGACTGAGCCCTTGAGATTACCTGTAGCTTCCTTTTTACACAGGTGTGGGTGACATCAGAGGCATAAGCGGTCTGATCGGTGAACCAGAAAGTGCAGCACACTGTATCTGCCGATCAGTAATCATGACATACAGAGGCGTATGCAAGCATGGGCAGTCCCTTTTGAAAAACTCTGAACTGCAAAGGATCCTGCCAGGAGTTCCAGGGCATTAATTCAGTCTCTGACCAATGACCTACTGTTGTCACACCCTCGCAGAGGGCGCCCCAGCTCAGATCTGTGGTGTGGCTCCACCAACACAGTTCGTCCCTCGTTTTCTTGTCCAGAGAAACCAGGTCTGCATAGGTCACGCCCTCGCGGAGACCAGTCCTCCTCCAGTCCATAAGAGGGCTGTGTCACAGAGACCAAGAGATTGAAGAGTTAGGAATGTGGGAAAATTGATAACTTCTTCTCGTATTATATCACAATGCATGCAGGAAATATGGCAATTATAAATACTGATAAATATCTTGAATTGTCCTGAAGTCCCCTCTACCTTCTTTCTTTCACTCCTACTTATTTGGTGCGATTTAAATAAACCCTGACTAAAAGGATCTAGGCAGCACAACTTATGTTTAATTATATCTAACATTATAATAGTAATATATTGCAGGAGATAAGAGTTAAATAATTATATTACTCTTTTTTGAGGTAATTGCTTAAAATTTTTGATTAAAAGATCATATGCAGTATAACATATGTCTAATTATATCTAATGTTCCTTTGATACTGTGACTTATAAAAGGGTTAAGAGTTAAAACGTAATATAACTTAAAATTCTCCTTAGAGATGGAGGATATGTTAAATGGGATCTAGGTAGAAAGGAGATATATGAAGGGGGAGGCTTAGAAGAGGGAAAACTTTATTTAAAGATAAATGCTATCTCGAAATATGATCAAATAAAATGAGTAAAATAAGTTATGCCTACTATTCTAATATTTTGATAGTATTGCATTACAGATTTTAAAAGGGATGGTTCCTTTTCTTTTCTTTTTTTTTTTTTTTCTTTCTTTTTTCTTGCACCTGTAAAGAGCTATTGGATATTAGTGTCTCCTTTTCTCACCTAGCTCATAATACATATATATTTTTTCTCTTTTTTTCTTGGAAAAAGTCGCTCCGCATAGATCCTCACTTTTGTTTGTTGAGGGAAAATGTGGAATGGAGGAATGAGGGTATTCCCCTATTCCAAAAGTTGTTATGTCCTAATGGTCCTAATGTAAGGACTTTTTAATATGTATTTACCGTTTGTTATGTTGTTGTGCGAGTACATGGGAAACAGACTTCCAGTAAAATTGTAGAATGTAATAGAGGGATTAATTAGAAATTATATATAAACAGAGTGACATAACAGGAAGATTTTCCTTTGTGGTTTGCAAGATAGAGGGTAGAGTATTCTCAATACTTCATTTATATGCACCAAACTCTAGGCAGATACATTTCTTAAATGCAGTTCTTCAGAAAGTGAGTGTCTATGTGCAGGAACCATTTATTTGTTGTGGAGACATTAACTGTTTTGCTGATTACGATATAATTAATTGCAAACGGAGTTGTCACGGCAAGGGTGTATAATTTATTATTACACTATGGAATATCATCTTTTAATGTAATTTGTGTAGTAAATGGCACAAATTACAGAGATGCTATTGCTGAGGTCAACAGGGGTTACATCTTTTGAAGCTGGGACCCCCACAGAGGTCAGATGACAGAAGGGGTAGTGTGAATGGCATAGGGATGTGAAAAGGATTTTACTATATGGATGTGAAGTAATCAGGGCTCTGCAAGGTGTAAGGTTCTACACTTGGAAAAAGTCTGAATGTCTCTTCATCCATTTGGCATGTACCTTGTAAAGGATAGTTCAATCATTTGAAATGGTAATGGGATTCGTTTCATGAAGATCCTTGTGTTCCAGTATCTTATCCAAGTGAAACATTCATACTTACCCACAGGTTAATAATTAAGCCTCATTTTTATTATATTTGGAATGGGACAAGGCCAATCTTTTAATTAAGCCCAAACATGAGTTGCACAACTTAAACCGTGTGGCAGGACTTGTGATGTCCGTCCTATTGGATCGTGGGTGGGGCGTGCAACATGTCTTTGGAATGGGAAAACAATAACAAATTCATAGAGGCAATTATTATTTCTGTGGCAAGTACAGTAGAGGAGATAAAACCAAAAGTTCGTATGTGGCTTGTTGGTTTCTGGAACAAAGGAGGTGGTCACCTAGTATCCCTATTGCTCCACCCCTGGATGAGGCGTGGCAATTCACAGGGTATATCTCCTGTGATTCTGAAGGGTGTTTGTGTACTTGCTTGGGGCCAAGATCTAATTTTGAGTGAGTCACCATCTTTCCTTGCCAGAGACCCCCTGGACAGAAGTTGTACTTTGAAAACCTAAGTGAGTAATTAGGACTTCTGTATTTTACCCTGTTTGTTTTTACCTGTTGTTGGTGTAAATAATTTGTTTATCGTATATTTTTATATGCACTGTGACTATCTTTTGCTCATAATAAACATTCATTTATTAAGTTTTGCCTTTGTCTGGTTAAGAATCACGTTACCTGAAGAGACTAGTTAGTATTTTTATAATTCCTTAAATATTGTGCTAAGTAATATTTGGTTGGTTTTATTATTGATTTACCTGGGGGACCAAGGCACCCCATTTATAAATTGTCTTGGTGGTGGCAGCGTTAAAATAGTAATAGTTATATTATTATGTTTGAGTGTGGGTGGTGTTAAAGGGGGATTTTGTCATTATTTCCGGTCTAGACAAATAGTGAACTTTAACCCTTTCACAACCACAACTACGTCACGCGCAGTCTTGGAGTAGGGTGTGTTCGTGACAGGAGTAATAGACAAAATAAACTTGCAAAAACATTTTAAGACACACTGGGTAAGTACAAGCTATAAGACATTTGAAGAACAATCGGACCAATGGATAAAGACTACACTTTTTTCACATAGATATTAATCCTATTCTAGAATAGATATGATATTAACTAAGGCTGATTCTGTATCAGATTGCAAAAAAATTTAGATTAAAAATTAGTGCTCTGATCATGATTAATGCTCTGATCATGATTCAGTGTGTCTTGAAATTAGGGCGAAATATAATAGAGTTGAACGAAATTGGCGTCTGAGAGATTTTATATTGAATTAAAAAACTGATATAGATGAACTGGTATCAATATCTAATTAGCTCTTTGATAAAAAATCTAATAGGCGAAGTTAGCCTAATTAACATTTTGGCAGCATATAAATGCATACTAAGAGGAAATTTAATTAAAAAATAAGTAATCTTAAGAAAAAAGCACACAAGAAGGTTTTCAGATTTATGCATCACTTTAAGTAATTTTTAAAAAAGGATCTCTAATTCTAAAGACTCAAAAATTACTGAAGAAATGACCACAATTCCCAACAACCCTGCCGGCATTATTTTTCTCGACCTTGAAATCAGCGGTCATAAAATATGTCTGGAGGGGGGAACGATCCAGGCTACGCCATGACATCCTATGCTTACCAAGACACAGAGGGGGCCTAGCCCTACCAGATTTTAAAAAGTACCACCAGGCAACAGTCCTACAAAGGATCCTGGAATGGCACGAAACAGATACGAGTAAACAATGGGTAACTCTGGATCGGATGGGAGAGGCTGCAAAACTAAAGGCAGCGGTTTGGCTGAGGAGAACAACCAGGGGCAGCAGGAGGGGAGAGGAGGGACCGGTGGCTGAAACATTACTAGCGTGGGAAACACTCAGAGAAATGCCTCAGGTGTCCCCGACCCCCTGTCCCTTACTCCCGATCCAGCACAATCCCAATATTGGAGGCGGACCATCGACGGAAGCATGGGCGTTTTTGGGTGGAGAGGATTATATACCAATCTACAAAGTCACTCGGGATGGTGAACTAAAATCTCTAGACGAGCTGCTAGCATCACGCCCACGATCCCATATGGCGACCTTCCGATACATGCAGCTACGACATTACTACAACTCCCTCCCACACCGGGACAGACTGCACAGAGACCTGACATGGTTTGAAGACGCCTGCTCTCGCGGCACCTCTCTTGGGAAAGCCATCTCACACCTCTACCAACACCTGCTGTCTGGAACTACCCCGGAGAACAACACTTTCCAACGTCAATGGGAGCGGGCAATGGACACCACGTTCACCCCTACACAATGGGACAAAGCGTTGATATGGCAACACAAAAGCTCCTCTAGCTCCCGCTACCAAGAAGTTAACTACAAACTACTCTCCATGTGGTACCGAACGCCGGTATTGCTTCACAAACTTTTCCCTAACACATCCCCAACGTGCTGGAGGTGTCAGGAAGAAAGGGGGACACTTATACATATCTGGTGGGAATGTAAGCATATTGGCCCATATTGGGATCAGATCAAATCCGACATCTGTCAGATTTTGGGGGACATCACCTGGTCGGTGGAGCTAATCTTACTCCACATCTCCACACAACCACTATCTACATATAAAAAATCCATCTTGCGGCACCTCCTAAACGCTGCTAAATCACTCGTACCAGTATACTGGAAAAAGACAGATATCCCTACCAGAGAAGAATGGATCCATCGAGTTGAGGATATTAGAGCGGCTGAAGCTATGCAAGCGGAGCAGATGGGCAGGGGTCCGAAGTGTGCTGAACTCTGGACTCCATGGTTTACCTTCCGCGCGCGGCGGTAGGGGGGGGCCGGGCGGGGGTGCTTGCCGGGCGACGCGTCTATGGCGGGTGATGCGCTCCGTGATGGCCGGCTGGAGGTGGCAACGTTCAACCGTATACCGCGCGTCTCTCTAAGTTGGGGGAATGACTCTGAAGGCACTGCCGACTGAGACAAACGGGTGACCATGTGGACCCACAAGGGAGACATACCCTCAAAGGAATAGCTGACGAATCTGAATGACACCCCACTACATAAATATAAACAGGGATACGGCTGTCCTGCACATGACCCCTCCCCCCTCCCCCCGACCCTCTCCGACTACTGCATGGAATCAGAGCCACGGTTAGGGGACCTTGATGGACTACACGACGAGGACACGCTGGATAACTGCTAATGTGGACGATGGGCGTGCAGTGCAGCCTTGGATTTACACCCCCACCCATCTCCCCGCACACTCGCCTCATCGCTCACCACTACACACCTCCCACGCCACATCATAATCTGAACAACTCTTTCTACGATGAACCCACATCACCCACTTATATATACTAG